ATAGAAGAGGTTATAGCGCTAGTAGGAGAAGATGATAAGAATAAAAAGTATTATTGCTTATTCAAAGGAGTAGACCCGAAGATAACAGTTGAGTTATCGAAAAAACAATTTAATAGAATACCAACAACGAAAAGATTAAATATGCTGGCGACATTTATGCAATTAGTAGGAACTCTTCGAGAGGAAGAAGAGGGAGAAGATGTCGTAATGAATTAGGACACAATTGTGATTAGTCGGAACTAGCATGTGATAAGTTGGAATGTGAATGTGACAGGTTGGAACATGAATGTGATAATCTAACAAGGTCCGGGTTGAGAAAGAATGACTCTTACATGTCAAGAAAGTGAGTCAATAATGAAGGTATATAAATACAGTAGGTAGATCACTAAGATGTATATTAGCTATCCATATATAAAGGTTGCTAATTAGAAATAATAAATTAAGTTGTATTCTGTATTGATTCAGCGTTAGTACAAAGTGACAAGATTAAGATAAAAGGATTTACCTTACATGTGAATATTGCAATGACGCTAATAAATGGCTAACGCGACATATATAAAGGACGGAGTTCCTGAAGTATAAGGTACACACTTCTTGCTATTAAAAGAGAGACAGAGATCTTTATATATATTAATAATACTGTATAGTTATTATAATAGTTTATAACCTCATAGAGCTTATATCTAATCAACTTAAGTATTCACTTCTACGGCTTGGATCCCTAGAAATATACTTAATACTTTATTCCTAATATTCCGGATCAAACAATACAAAATAATTATTTTGTCAAGTAACTAAAACATTTTGTCAAGTAAATAAAATATTTGTAAAAGTGTTTTAAAACATTTGTCAAACAACTAAATAAATATAACTAACAAAACAACAACATCTTTTAATTTAATCTTAAGTCAACATGCCAGGAGATAAAATGGAAAAGGCTATGAAGGCACTACAAGAATCCATCGAAGCAATGAATGCTAAAATGGATACCAACCTTGAAGTGATCAACAAAAGAATGGATAGCAATTACGACTTAATTAACAGAAAAATGGAAGAAAAACAAGAAGAACACATTAACTATCGAGAACAATTTCAACAGAGTTTAAACGCTTTGAAGTTAATGAACAACGATTTAACTAATAAATTATTGGAATTAAAGACAAAGGATGACGAAGAAAGAAAGGCTTTGTACGATGCATCAATTGAGTTCAACAGTTTCCAACAGGAACAGGAAAAATTAAAAAAGAAAGCAAAGGAACTTGGTGTAGAATTAAAACAAGAGAGAGAGCAAGCTGAAGCAGTTTTTAATCTCGAAGAACAAGCTTTAAATACCAAGTTTGAACAAGAAGACAAGGAATTATCAAACATTACAAAAGGAATCACTGACGATTTACCTTTATACTTGCAAAATTTCAAAGGAGAACTTATTAATGAAGTTCAAACACTAATCGCTCAACAAGAACAACCAACTCAAGATAAAACCGCTATTAATGAAAAACAAAAAGAAAAATTACTATTAACAAAAATAAGAAAACACTCCCCCTTAATTATAATGGATGAACAACACCGGATCGCAGCAGCATGTAACAAAAGTTTTGTAGACGTTACTCTAATCCCTACAACCTCTATGGTAGTAGAAAACATATACACAAAAGATAATACAGCTGCAATTCTAGAAATCCAACAAGCACTTATTAACAAACGAGTACAATATAGTGACTGGAGCATGTTTCTTTCACTGTGCTGTAAGAGCAGCGCTGCGCACCATTTAAGAGACGCAAGAGGAAATATTATGTCATGGAAAGATTGTATACTAAGTATCTATAAATATTTCAATTTTCAGAAATCTGCTTCACAGGCAGAAGATGAACTAGTTAACCGACAAATTACGGATGGTGAAAATGTGACAATGTTCATGTTACAACTTACAGAAATGGCAAACGCAAAAAGATCAACCAATCTTTTTCCTATATTACTAAGAAAGTTGAAGTTAATAATGAGACAACAATTTCCCACTATAAAAATTCCAAATTTCTCCGATTTTAGCAATTATGAAGATGTCGTTGGATATATAAATGAATTTTTACCAGAAGATCAAATATACACAAATAGCAACACACAAACCACTAACTTATTCGCTTTACAAAATTATCAAAACAAAAATAGAAACATAGCTAAGAAAATTCTTTTTTATTGCACAAATTGTACATGTAATAAATGCAGAAACATCAATAGTTACCAAAATAAAAAACCAGGTTTCTGTCTAAACTGTTCGTGCACAAAATGTAATAATACCAAAACCAAGTACTACCAAAACAAACGAACAAACAACGGATCACTAACAAACAAAAAATACAATATAAATGAAATCCAAATAGCTAACAACAACGAAGAAAATCCTTACCACGAACAAAATGACAGCGATTACTCTCGTCAATTCACAACTATCGAAATAAACGAAGAAACCGATTCAGATGAAGAACAAGACATAAATAATGAAATACTCGACAGCTATATCGAAAGCTATTCAGACAATACACAAAACGATGCAGAACCTTCCGTTCAAGTTAACTCCTTACAGCTAAATAATACCGAAATTAATCATTTCAATGATAAACAACCTAACCTAATTTTTGACACTGGCGCTGACGCGAATTTCATATATCAACCCATTCTACAAACCCATCAACACAAACTTCATAACCTAATAATTACCATAATTGACACTATCCACTGTACTCCCATTCTAATAAAACCTGCTATAGGAAATACATATATAATTGACAAAATCGCAAGGGTCAAGATACAAACCAACAATTTCCATATTGAAGAAAAATTCTTCATAATTCCCGAACAACGAACTAATATAATTTTTGGAAAACCACTATTAAAACTTTTGAAGTACCAACTACAGGAGAACCACGAATCTATTGAAATCAACGGAACACGCGTGATCATCCCCACTGTCAATCCCTTACTAAACAACCAACCACATATACGACTAATAAAGCAAACTGAGATCAAAGAACAGTTGCGTCAGCAATATCCACTAGTATTCGCCGAAGCTACTCTTAACACAAAGAAAACAAAACATAATTACATTGCTTTTGTACGACTCAACAACTTTCCATACCATAAACCCAAAGCATATTTTACTAACCAATTACAACGACAAGCTATCCAACAATTTATTACACAATCCCTAGAATCCCACATGATATCTCCAATAGCTACCGACGAGTTAGTAGCGCTTAGTCCCGTTTTCCCTATACAACAATCCAAGGATAAAATTAGAATTATTACCGACCTCAGGAAGGTAAATAACCATTTACAATACACTCCAAGACCCATTCCACCAATACAACATATTTTCTCCAACCTCGCTAATAAAACAATTTTCTCATCACTTGACATCCGTAAAGCTTACCAGCAAATTCCCATAAAAGGAGATAAATTAGGACTCATTACAGAATTTGGTAGTTATAAATTCAATCGACTCCCCTACGGTCTGGCATCAGCACCCTATTGGTGGGGCGAATTTATTCAAAATCTTCTAAAACAACTGCCAACATCCAAAAATACCACAGTTTCATATTATTACGATGACCTAGTTATTGCTTCTTTGACAATCGCAGACCATTACTCTACCTTACAAAATATCATGCGCCTTTTATCTGACCACGGTCTATCGCTCAGTTATGAAAAGATTCATATTGCTGAATCCAAAATTCATTTCCTCGGTTACGAAATTTCACATAACCGCTTAGCTATAGATAAAGACAAGAAAAATACCATTGCTCAATGGGAATTACCCCAAGATAAAAAAGCTATCGAAAAATTCACAGGTTTTGTAAATTTCCTTCGAAATTTCATCCCCAATGCCTCAAAACTCTTACAACCATTTTACCAATTTGCAACGGGCAAAACTCCAACACAACACATCAACACGACAAAATCCGCTATGACAACCAATTTCCACCTTATCAAACAAGCAATATTAAAATCTATCACATTAAAGCTATTTGACCCACAGGCCCCAACGATCATCTATACCGACGCCAGCCTTACGGGTGCAGCTTCAATCCTATTACAACCCGAAAACCAAAACGGCAACACCATACTTTACCCTATTGCTTTCTATTCCATCAGGTTCAATCCTACCCAACAACGGTACTCTACCGTCGAACGAGAACTATGGGCAGTATTGCACACCCTTGAAAAAGCCCGGTTATTGTTATCTTCCAATATTACAATATACACTGACAACCAAGGCATTATTAGCATAGGAAAGACCGAACGAGCCACCCATCCACGGTTAACCAAATACCTCGACTTACTCAATACGTACCGACTAACCTGGAAATACATTAAAGGTTCACAAAACTACGTCGCAGATTACCTCAGCCGATACGGACTCAGCCAGAAAACCACTCTAAATCTTGACGAATGGGAACAACTTGGCACTACTATTGACCTAGCTACTACACAACTAAATAACCTTACTAACGAACCCTCCGCTAACGACACAGACCTCATCATAAACAATGTCCACAACCTATCCTGGTCTCAGATCCTTGAGATTCAACAAATCCTTCGAGAAAACTTACCGGTACCACAAATATACCAGAACATTATTCACATATTTACGTGGGTTAACAACAATTTTTATATCTTTTACCACCAACAACTTCATCACATCTTAACCGACATCGATTATATCCAGAAAGCCACTTCAGCTCACAACAGATTCCATGCCAGTCATCGTGTACTTGAACAAATCATGGTTCAAGAAAAGTATTGGAATCCCAAACACTCGGTATTATTATTGGATATAGTTAGGAACTGCCAACACTGTGAGACATACCAACGTTTCATCGACTTACCAGTCGAACTCCCAAAAATGAAAGTTACTCCACCACTCACCCGATGGCATTTCGATTTTGCGGGACCTCTTCCATCTTCGAATGATTATCAATATTTCATTCTCGCAGTCGATTATACTTCGAATATCACAGTTACGAAACCTATTAAATCACCTAACTCCTATGCTGTTACCGATATAATTTTACAAATATATGCTTTATTTGGCAAACCCCATGCTATAATTACGGATAATGCACAAAGTTTTATTTCTGATCTTATTCAAAGAGAAGTAAAAAGACTACACCTAAATTACTACCAGAGTTCTGTATACAACCCGAGAGGAAACAGCAAAGCTGAAAGGACCATTAAAATGATAAAAACTGTACTGAAACATTTGGAACCAAATCTAGTCAACTGGCCAGCAAATTTATACAACGCGACAAACATAGTCAACAACACTAAAATGATATACGGATATGCGCCTTGTGAAATCGCGTTTGCAAAACAAGCTCATATTCCCAAAAAGCAACATAGCTGGTTACCACTCCAGGAAAGCCAGTCGTCTATATCGATCGATGCAACAAGTCAATTTCAACAAGAAGAACAAGTTCAAATTGCGTTATTCAACCACAAACTACTACATGAAGCAAGGAAGATTACAAAAGATGAAAGGACTAAGATTCGCGAGATGTTGCATAGAGTTCGCAAAGACAAACAAAATGAAATGGAGTTTATAGTTGGAGACCCCGTGTATCGATTAAGGAAAAAGAACAAAATGCATGAACCTACTTGGGATGGTCCATTTTATATATCACAACAAGTTGGTCAACATACATATAAAATTAGAACAAAAAATGGAATAGAAAAGAAATACACCTACCATAGTACCAAATTAAGACCTGCTTATTCAGAACAGGGTTCGGCTATCAGGACGGCAGCGGAATACACCCGAGTATATAACGACCAAGAAAGGGATTACTATATTAAAACCCTCGACGATATTATAAAAGATAAAGCGTACAATTCGTCCACGCCAAGAGTTCTTTGAAGCCGCCGATATTTGTATTGATTCAGCGTTAGTACAAAGTGACAAGATTAAGATAAAAGGATTTACCTTACATGTGAATATTGCAATGACGCTAATAAATGGCTAACGCGACATATATAAAGGACGGAGTTCCTGAAGTATAAGGTACACACTTCTTGCTATTAAAAGAGAGACAGAGATCTTTATATATATTAATAATACTGTATAGTTATTATAATAGTTTATAACCTCATAGAGCTTATATCTAATCAACTTAAGTATTCACTTCTACGGCTTGGATCCCTAGAAATATACTTAATACTTTATTCCTAATATTCCGGATCAAACAATACAATTCTAAGCTGAAAGGTGACACACACTAGAGGGTTTGGCATACAACAGCTGAAATTTTATTGCTTCAGTAGCTCAGTAGGAAGAGCGTCAGTCTCATAATCTGAAGGTCGAGAGTTCGAACCTCCCCTGGAGCAATATTATTTTTTTTCCATTTTTATTGAATAAGTATATTAATTAATTCTGTTACTACTTATAAATCATTTAATTGTCGATGTTGCTATAAGTACCACATATATACAAACAGTAACTTTCGAAATAATTGTATTAAATGTCAAAAAGAAAAAAAAACTAATTAAAAACTATTATAATTCCGAAGATGGATTAGTTTAGGTATCACTTTTATCTAAGTTTTCATTACTAGCCGTTTTATCATCCTTTGTTTTATCATCCTTTGTTTCTATACTGCTTTTCTTATTAATACCATTCCCTTTTGACTGTGATAGTTTAGACTCACTCACATTGCGCCTTTCAAATGAAAAAATATCAAAAAGTTGAAATATAAGGAACCCAATCAATGCAGTACCAATTAATTTTAGCAGTTCTTTATTCTCTTCATAAAACTCTTCAGTAAAAGCAGATATATAACCGGAACTCATTCCTTCAGATTTTGGTCTATATTCGTTAAAGTTTGAAGGAACATTTCTAATTCTATCATTTTTTTCAATACCACTTTTATAATTCTTATCTTTAAAAATATCTGAAAATATATTCACTGGGACATTTGTATCATCTAATGATATTGTTCCAGGATTCAGTGATGTATAGAATATTGTGTTGACAGGAGATGGGATTTGTGCAATTATAGTCCTTAGGTTCTTATCAAATGTCGATATAGCCTCCGCCCTTAAATCCCTATCATCAGGTAAGGGTGGGAACTCTATTCTAATTATTCTTGGCTCCGAATCGATATAGGCATCAAAATCATCCGCAGATTGGCCATTGATGTTAATGATGTTATCTATATTACAATGGTCTTTTAATGCGATTGCTAATTTGTCATAAAAATTAGTTTGTAAATTTTGGACTTTTTCAAATTTAATAGCTGTAGAACTAATTTTAGCATAATTTGCCAAAGATTTAAAATTATCCTGATAATAAATAAAGTCAGTGTTTCTCAAGCCCGGTTGATTAATGAATATGTATGCATCAGAGGAACATTCTTGTATTATGTTTTGTGACAATCGTTGAAAAGTTTCAGAACCATATTCAAATGTGGAATCATAATTATCTGATCCAGCCACTACCGAGTCTATTAGTTTATATGAAAATACTAATGCAGGGACATTTTTTTGTTCGATATATTGGACAGAAGTATCAGCAAAGACATTGGCCAACAAGTGAAGTGTTAAATAAATATACAAAAGCATTTATATCTTATTAGAACAGAAAGTAATAACCTTAAATAGTAGACTAATAATATAAACCAGTTATTAATTGAACATCAAATAAACCTTGAGTCAACCTTCATCGACTAAATTGATTTCATTTTAATTACTAGTACCTTTTTCATTTAGTTGATAAAAGGCTATATAAGATATATCTTAATGGAACCTTTTTTTATATAATCCGGGTAAAGGATAAAACAAGAACATTTTGGCATTAACACAGATAGTAGTTAATATATTAATTGGACGACAACAATTCTAACAAAGCAATACTAAGTTCTTATTTTGAATTCAATTACATACATATCATCAACATCACTTATCCATTTTTAATTTTGGATAGTATGATTTAATCTCAAAATAGTGATATTTTTGAATTGTCAATGTTATTTATATACAGTTAATTTAATTAGTATCTACATCTATGTAATTATTTGTGCGATTTTTATTACATTACTGAATTTATTTAACATCAATCCAGGTTCTTTTAAATGAATATATGAGAAATAGAAAAAAATATCTTATTTGTATTTGTGACTCTTGGTAATAACTTCAATTCAACCTAATAAATAAGATCTTACAAAATAGAAAAAATAATGCTCGTTGGTATTTTCATTAAAATAGGACATCAGTCCAATAAAGGTTTCTTTAATACATGATTAGTATTTGATATCATCGCTTGAAACTCTTTAATAATCATCTCACTGTCAGTCGTTGCTTCAGTTGGAGCTTCAGTTTCAAGATCTTCCTTAGTATTTGAAATTAAGAAATCCTCCTCTTCTGTACTCGATTGTTTTTGTTCATCCAGATTTTCTAATAACTTCATATCAAAGTGATCTGGATATTCCCATCCATTTTCAGTAATTAGCTTGATTAGTCCCATGTGTTCCACATTGAACTTAGAATCTAATATTTTTTTATACCAAACTAATGCTTCCGGTATGTTATTACGGCTATGATAATGATATACCATTGCCACACAAAACTTAAAATCCAATGGTATTTCAAGAGAATCCATCAATTCTAATACTTTAGAGATATCCCTATTAGATAGCTTCTCATTTTGATAAACAACTATCGAAAATGGACTGGTTCCATCAGTAGGTTTAAATCTATGGGAGTCACTTTCGTTGTAGAAATCTTTCAAAATTGTGAGGGAAAGTAGATGATCATTGATAGAATATCTTACGTGTTTTAGAAATGCATTAAGTATACCTGTGTTTTGTTGAAAGTAAAGATTATGACTCCTCATAGGTAAAATTGTCTTTTTATATCTTTGATATAAGTCTAGCAGAAAAACTTTGAAATTTTCTTTGTCCATAGTCTTGGAGAATGTATTTAGTACTGTAATATATAATTCTGTAAGCACTGGAAGAGGAGGATATTGGATTGAAACCATTGATCTTGGTAAAGTGTTTTTAATCTTTTGATATTCTGTATCAAGCTCTTGATTGGATAATGTATAGGACTTACCATGATAGACCCAACCCCATAATCCCAGTTGGTTCAAAAACAATGCAACTCTTTTCCTTCTATAAGCAGATGTTACATATTGTAATGACAGTTTTGGATCGTTAAAAGATCTCAAACATGAAATCAAATGACCAATTAAAAAGTTTTTGAACACCGAATTATGGACCATTGGAGTTTTCCTCATGAGAGATAAGAGGTCAAATGCCTCATCATACATACCCTTATTTCTAAGAAGAGTTATTGAAGATGAGAGTGGCGATAAAAGTAAATTGGAAATGTTGGATAACCGAATCTTATTATCTTTATTCAGTTCATTGGTCTGTATCTTAGATGTTTCGTTAGCTAGTATTCGTAATGTGGATGAAAACATTTTAATATCTTCAATTTTTGACAGATAATTAAGTAGACTAATATTAAAATAAATTAAGTTTAATCTTGAGTCAAATTCAACTGTATCCGGATTTGTTTTAAACGAGGGTCTTTTCATACTATCTAACATCGAGTTAAAATACATTCTTAAAAATCTCAAATCATTTTTTTGAATTAACAAATTAACGAAACTTCGAATTGAGTCAAAACTATTCAATATTATGAATTTTCGCCTAAATATATGTTCATATTCTGGTTTATGCAAAAATAGCTGAAATGAAGCTAATTCGAACTCCAACTGAGAACCTTTCAATAATCGTTTTTGAAATTGTAAAATATGATATGACGAAGACAGGTTAACGTTATTTTGAATCAGAAAATAATAATGTGTAAATGATTCGTTTTTATCAATATTTTCCCAGAACCATTTATGTATCTTATCTGTCAAAAACCAACCGTACTTTTCACCGATAGTTGGATATAGTTCATTTTGTAAATTAATCATTTCATAAATACAATTTTTTTTATCTATTGTATCAATTTCATTATTTGATATTATCTCGTCAATATACTTATTAAAAAGAACTCTATATTCTTGACCAATCTGTTTTATATAAGTCAAATGCAATTTTGTTGGGTTTTCTGATGCATCTCGTAATTTATTTATAAAAGGTGAATAATTCTGTTTAAACTTTTTCATTAGCAACCTCTTTATAGGTTTTATTTCATCTGGTTTATCAACGACATCCAAAATCTTCACAAGTTCCTTTGTAGAATTGGAATTCTGTTTTAGAAATGCACGAGGTGTCTTTTGATCAATCATCAATCTAATGTCATTCTGAATTTTCCCACTAATTGTACTAATCGTACTATTATGTCGTACTAATTGTAATCCATGTATTTGTACAAACCTGATCATTCTCTTCAAATCTATAATTTCCCCATAGATCTCTGGTGTATACAGATGAACTGGTCAAACGTAGAGAGTAAAAAAAAGGGAAAAACACCAACCACTTAAAGTTCTTTACCAAATTCAACTAAATTTGTCAACGGCTAGTTCATTGGTGATCTAAAACCATCAATATCTGTTGCTGTTGTAGTGATACTAAACTCTATATTATATAGTTCTTTATCTTCATTTAATATCGAAATCAGTTGAAATTTCAGTCATTGTAGACGTCAGATATCAAACATTTAATTTAATGAAATTCAGTTAAAGACCATCTTTAAATATAAAAAAACTGATTTAAATAGTATAAATCAATAACGAAGTTTATTTTGAACTTTAGTAGTTTCAGTTGACCAAACACTCTACAGACCTCCAGATCAATATATTATTGCTTATTCCAGAGATAAGTTATAATTAGAATAAAATATTTGGTAAAAGCAAGAACCGTAATATTTAAATCATTTATTAGTTTTCCAATAATAGCATCTAAAATACTGGGACTCAGAATTTAATTAAGTTTAAATCGAGGTAGTGATTGTAATTTCAAAAGATTTTTTACGTCTAAATATAATTAGTTTGCAGGAAGTAATTTATGGAGATCTGATTATCGAGATACTACATTTATTTTGTCCAATTATATGCAAATATCTAGAAAAACGTCAACAAACAGATCAGAGGTACCAATGGCTAATAATGGGAGTGATCTAGTCTATCGTTCAGCTTCTTCCGAGAAGATTTCAAATGGTGATAGTGATATATGTTCATCGATAAAGAGGACAGAGGTCATCGGTAGAGGTAAGTTCGGGGTAGTATACAAAGGTTATCATTTAAAAACGAAACATGTATATGCAATCAAAGTATTGAATTTAGATTCCGATTCAGATGAAGTTGAGGATGTACAGAGAGAAATCCAATTCTTAGCATCGCTAAAACAAGTTCCAAATATTACAAGGTATTATGGATCATATTTACAGGATACGAATTTATGGATAATTATGGAATATTGTGCTGGTGGTTCATTAAGAACTCTATTAAGACCTGGAATGATAGATGAAAAATATATTGGTGTTATAATGAGGGAGTTATTGACAGCATTACAATGTATCCATAAAGATAATGTGATCCACAGAGATATCAAAGCCGCCAACGTCTTGATTACAAATGAGGGTAAAGTCAAATTATGTGATTTTGGTGTTGCTGCTCAACTAAATCAAACAAGCTTGAGAAGACAAACAATGGCAGGTACTCCATACTGGATGGCTCCTGAAGTTATTATGGAAGGTGTATACTACGATACTAAGGTAGATATTTGGTCTCTAGGTATTACCGCTTATGAGATCGCCACAGGAAATCCTCCATACTGTGAAATTGAAGCACTAAGAGCTATGCAGTTAATCACAAAATCAAAACCAGCAAGATTGGAGGGAAGGCAATATAGCAGTGGCTTGAAAGAATTTATTGCATTATGTTTAGATGAAGACCCAAAGGAAAGACTTTCAGCAGAAGAGTTACAGAAATCGAAGTTTATCAAAGCACACAAGTCATCTCCAACAGCTATATTAAAAGAATTGATTTCTCGATACCTATTATTTAGGGATAAAACTAAATCCAGCAGAGAAAGTTTATTGTTAAATGATGATCAAATTGCCAAAGCAGGTAATATTGACAAAGGTAAAGCAGTGGGCAGTACATCCGAGGAAGATGACAAGTCTACTAGTTACGATGGAGTAGATTTAAAATGGGATTTTGATTCACTAAGTTCTAGCGAATACATTATAGAAAATGATATAAATATTGATTCCATTCCAGAAGAAGGAACTGCCGACTGGTCAAGACCTGATAATGATCAATTCAATTTTGCATATCCTGATGAAGAACAATATTATTACTATCAGACAAGTAATAATACAAATACGCATAATATAAGAAGAAATTTTCAAGACAGTACAATGGGTAATTACAATCAAGGAATAACTATGTATAATTCTACTTTAAACGCACCAATGTCCCAAGCAAATGGTACTAATAATTTTACAAGTAAGGTAATGAAAACCAATCATATAAATACTAGCATAACTGGAACAAATATCACTAATACTACAAGTAATAGAAACATGGAATCAAGGGCCGCCAATCAATTACGACAACTTTTTGAGGAAAATGATGTTATCAATGAAGAAGTCGCCCTTGAAACCGATATTCACAATATTCCTAAGTCTCATTCGGTTCTTCCATCTGTGTCTAACGATATTCAGCAATCATCCTTATTGAGTGCCACTCCTACAACTTTACTAAGACCGTCGTTGAACATTTTACCAACAGCCTATCATAGCCAAAGTGCATCGAACCTCCCCGTGATACAGAATAAAAACTTACAAGGTGTGGCAAGTGTTGTAACCACAGCAGCCACTCCTATAGAAATTGAAATTCCGGAAGAACTTCCAGTTAGTGCTTTACCGACTCCTTCCACTAGTGAACAAATCAATGAAACTAAAGCTAGGTCTACTACAATTTCAACACCAAATCCATCACATTCAGCCCACCCTGTTATGACTAGGAGGCTAACTGTAAGTGGAACAGGAACCCCAATGAATTCTATAACAGCTTCAAGACAAGATTCATCTAACAAAATGTTTATTGATGAAGGGATCAATGGAGGAGGGTCTATGGTGAATAATTCAAATACAAGTAGCGCTAATGCATTAATAGGGAAAACACATCGCAGAACTCCAACTCCACCTAGAAGCCTGCTTAAAGTAAATACTTCAATTTCTCCATCAAAGAAATTGACAAACTCACCTAAAGCTCCAATATCTAGCAATGGATTGCCAAGTATGAAGCCTGTTCTAAGTAATAATGACCATAAAGATTTGATGCTGCAACCACTGAATAGCAGTAGTAGCAATACCGGAGTAGCAAGTAACTTATTTACAAATTCAACTAATGATAAAGAAATGAGTAGAGCTACAAGGGAATTTCGTAGGAATAACCCTAATCTAAAATTGCAAATGCCATCACCAACAACTATGATACCAACGAAATTACTAGACTCGGCTACCTCTGATGCTGTTAACAATGCTGGCGGCAATGGAACTCCTAATAATGAGAACATCAATCAATTCGGCTTCAATACCAGTGCTGCTTTGAATATTCAAGTAAGTATGACACCTATCAGTGAGAAACATATAGATCTTGGCGGTAAGTTAAAAAGAAGCCAAAGTGTAAAACAAAGCAGATCAGGAAGCATATTAGAAACCCATGGCCAGTTAAATCCATCAGCATCAAGTAATTTACCAACACCATCCAGTGGTTTGACGTCTTCTTCCTCAATTGCATCTGTTACCAGTATCAATACTAATGCATCTGCGAATGTAGGCTATAATTCAAATGCAACAATACCTAATAACATAGCTAATGGCAGTATTACTAATAATGTTGGAAATGGTCCAAATACAAGTTCAAATAGTGGAACAATTAACGGTAATATTGTTTCAGTAGGAACAAATACGGCTAGTAATAATGGTAATGGTAATTCAGGAAATAATAGTTTGAAGTCAACATCAAATTCTACTGTAACTTCAGTTGAGAATTCTACAAATTCTACTCTTAGTGTTTCCACCAGTACCTCAAGTAACATAATGCAACCCCCTCCAAAATTGTTGATGATGGATTTATTTTCAGATTTTGATTTGAATAGTAGTCACGATTATGATCACTCATCAAGATGGATTGATCGTAAACCGCAAGTGCTTGAAGAATTAGAATCATTATTGAAACTATACGAAGAAGGACTGCCGGTCCTAGAAAATGTCCTCAAGAAACAATTACAAAAAGAAGCTCCATTACCTACACCATCAGCCTTACAATCACAAGCTCCTATTTCCTCAAACATGACACAAGTATCTCCTCAAGCACCAACAATTCCGCAAACATCTTCTCAGACTGTTGTTCAACAGACGCTAAGTGTTGGCACTCCAATCATTACTTCATCGGTGAATAGTAGCATAATTGAAGAAATGTAATTCCTGATGGCTAGTAATTCAAATTAAGATATCCACCTCAATTCTATTTATACCAAGTGAATTAGAAACGCTACGAAATATCACAACAAGAAATCTGCTGTTCTAAGAAAGATTAGCAATATTATTGTTTTTTCAATTATTTCACATTTTTTCCATGCTACTTTCTATTTTTCATGTTCATCATTCAATCTATAACCTTTTAGATGTTTGTTTTTTGTCTTTTTTACTTAATTCGTTAATCGATCAATTGCTTTAACAGTTTCCTTTCGGTATGATATTTGAGAGGAGAAGGGGAAGTAAATGATGTCGAGCCTGTTACAGAGCCGTTTCTCCATGATAGATATATTTTCACGGCCCCAAGCCTAAAACTGTTACAGACTTCAATAATGCGACTGAAAAACATAGGAAAAATCTGAAAATTTCGAACACTGTTCAATTCTAAACGGTATCCCGCTGTATCCATAGGGGGAGGGAGGATTCAAAAGAGGAACAATGAAATCTTTAAAGCTCGGTATGTCTTTTAACAAGTTAGCGTACAAATTGAAACACGATAGTGCAGGTTACTAGGCAAATTGCTAGGCTGGGTAAACTGATATTATTTTTTTCTATTTTAAGTTAGAAGTTGAAATTGCATTCCCCTGTTAGTGGATTATTGTAAACATTAATAGATTGACTTAATTATCTACCATCATTGACAGGAAGTTTCGTTACAAGCAAATGATATCGTGAGTCCAGAAAGGTTTTTTTCTTTTTCTTTTTTCTTTTTTTAGCAGTTGTCCGAAATGTACTCCAGAATAGAACGTGATGTATGCGCTTCAGTCTGATCTCTAGTGTGGTGTGTTTAATTATGACGAGTTACTATGTTCTCCCTGCTGAGTTTCATTTAACAAATATGTGTGTACAAAGCTCTTTCTATAAGCATTTCGAAATTCAAAATTCCATTTTTATCTTCGCCCCTACACCGCGTTTCATGTACAGGTCTGTCTATATTTGTTCTACGATCACCATCAAACAAACACTCGAACTTAAATCAACAATTATTCGAATGTTCTCTAGAAATCATCATTATTAGCCCCCTATTATGTGTTCTAATAAGAGGCCCCGCGGAACTAAATTTAAACTATGTACCAAGACAAAACCAAACTGAACTTTAATAGCAATCGAAATTAAGCTGGGTTTACCTTTCTGGCTAGTATAACGAGGAACCAAGCTGAACTTTCGAAGGTGTGATGTGATATTTTAGTTTTTTCCTCCTAGGAAAGGCAATCATCATGGATTATTAGATGCTTACATTCTACTGTTACTACAAGGCTTTCTTCTGAGCTATGTCTCACAAGTGTACTTTAATTTGAATGCTCAATGATGTTGCTAATTATTGCTACAGTGACTACTCACTCTCAAACGGTTAATTCACTACTTTTGTTCATACATTAAGTGAAAAATCAAGAAAAAAAAAATAAATAATAATAGTAATAATAAGATGTCAAACTTGATCCTTGAGGTGGGTCAAATTGAGGTTATTATTTACCTTCGTCTTCAAGCAGAAGGTTTAATTTCATTATATAAATAAACAATGTAAATATTGATATTTACAGTATCTGCATTTAACAACGGTGATACATTCAATTTAATTAAGACGTCAAGTGCATCCGCTGACAAGTTTTGGGACTATATTGTATTATTTTCTGAATCATATCCTAAATTTTCAACAGGTTTTACATTTTTATTATACTTTCAGTCGCTAAATAGGCTATGTCTTTAAACATCCAATACTGATATTTTGATACATTGATATATTGCCATATATATTTTTATATATATCGAAGTTTTTTTTTGTCCCTTCATTGACACGGTTTTGAATCTTAGATACTAAATTTAGATCAATTTTATTACTTTCGCTATTTATTATACAAGAGATTTAGTTCCTCTATATTAATCAATTGATCTTTATACATATAATATGGATAATCGTTCCAGAAGTAGTTCATTGGCGAGCAACGTAAGAATTAAAAGTTACTCTTCTCTATCGTCTCATTCAAATAGTAATAGCAATAGTAATGGAAGATCAATAGAAGCTCCCGCAGTAAGAAGACCAAGTGATAATTTGTTAGCATCTGAATCAAAAAAAAATGAACTAGACCAAGATTATCTGAATGCTATTAATTTACAAAATCATACAAAGAGTTCCTCCTGCATAGGAAGTGCTTTAACCGGTCATGTTGTTCCTGTCAAGGAAAGACCAATATCCAATGACTCAATTTCTACAAGAAATACTGATCTATTCTCATCTACCTCTATATATACAAAGAATTCATCTTCGGAGGATATATTTAACGATGGAGATAGTAATGGAACTGATGATACCAGTAATATTACCTCGAAACCTGAAAACTGTAATTATTTATTAAATAGAAAAGAATCAATTATAAGTGAAGGGCAAATAACAAATTCAACTCCAACTCCAGCTCCAACTCCTATACCAGGATCTAACAACATATATACGCATCATTTTGCACCTTCAAACCCTTTACTTCGTAGTAAAACTGCTTTGACACCTTCCCAACAATATAAGTTACATAGAGTGAGAAGTGACAGTTTACTAAGAAACATTATAAATACTAACGACAGGAATTTATTCAATTCAAGTAATCTGATATTACAAGAACATGATGATGAAGATGATGATAACGAAGAAGTTCAAATTGATGTGAATAATAACTCTTTGAATTGGAATGTTCCTATGGCATCTGTGTCAACCACTTCATTCATTAATTCTGTAACAAATGATACTGATATTCCAACTCATGTCAAAAAATCAAAAAGGAAAAACCATCCTACAGGTTTATACAGGGCATCTACATATACATCTTCATACACAACTATCAATGGCAGGCACACTCCATCATATGTACCAGAAAGCCCTTATGACATAGCTTTACCCACTACACCTATACCTGGTATAAGTAATGTTTCAGATTTGGAGTATATGAGAGATACATCTAAGTCATTATCTGCTCTGTATTTACAATCTTCAGGGAAGCTATCAGAGTCAAGATTAGCTCAACGTACTAGATCTTCTAGTTTGCTACCATTAGAATTCAAAGAAGCTTCTGATCATGGAATGGAAAACTTGCTACTAGTTTCAAATCATAAGAGATCGTTTACTACAACAACTAGACCATGTTGGTTACCTCCAAAGGATCCTATGGAAATAAAATCACATGAAAAACAAATATCACAACATTTAGATGAAGTCTCAGTATTTGAGTTGCAAAGAAATAATTCATTTCAGGATCATGTTCACAATAATAAAGTAAACCAAGATAGACTACAGACGATTATCGATAGAGGACTAACAAGGAACTCATCTTTGAAGATTCTTAAGGAAATTATTTGGGAAAACAGTTTGCCGGATGATTTAAGATTATCAATTTGGAATGAAATTTTGCAGTCTTCTGACAATTTAATATCAAACAATTATATCGAATCTTTTGATAGTATCAATGAAATATATTCTAATTTACAATTTCCTAGATCAAAGGAATTAGAAATTATGAAGTTAATCGATAAGAATATTAAAAGCAAATATGGCGATAATCTTGAAATATCAGAAAATCTGTTATATTTATTGAAATTAAAATCTCTATCGCAACAAGGTCTAGTCACTGGTGATGAGCTCCTTTTCCATCATTTTATATATGATAAATCATTTAAATTCTCATTGAATGATGTTTGGACAATGGTTAATCTAATTCAAAAGACATGTTTTAATGATATTTGCAAAGATTTTTATGATCATCAGATTGTTAATGGCAATAAAGTATTTGCTCAGTATATCGGAAATAATGAAGAATTTAGTAAAGAAAACAATTCAACATGCTTAAATTATGGTACTTTATGGAATATTTTGGAACGTATGGACCATAACATCTTCATGTGGATACTTGATATTATTATTATTCATAATTCTCAGAATTTTAAAAATTCTAGTATTAGTAAATCAAATATCAATAACGAAATAACTTGGGATATTTACAGAACAAAAAACGTTGTCGTAAATTACAAAATTTTGTTATCTTTTACTTTGTTGATTTTATTGAAATATCATTTTGGTTTTAACAATTTATCCGAGTTATCATTATTAAATGATAAACAATTTTGTATTCCAGTTGCATCAAAAAATGTTCAAGATGAATGGCATTTTACTAGCATGTTCATAAGAAAATGGAACTATTATTACAAGAAATTTTGAACATTTTAAATAAAAATTCCAAAAGAACGAATAAACAAATGAAAATAAAGACACTCCTATAATATTGACACATTATTTTAACAGTCCTAATTTTCACCATAAACATATATACATATTAAAATTATAATTAATCTGTCACTTTTTAGTTAATTGGCTTAAAACTCAAAATATTTTTAATCTTTAACTCTACCTTATAATCTCTCTTTGGAATCGAATAGTTTCTTATTCAAATCTTAAATAATTTATATAAATTATTTAACTACCGCATAATAATTTATAAGCCCCACTCCCCCATTCACAAATCTTTATGAGAATACTTCTTAAAGCACTGTAAAATGAGTCGTTACTGAACTCGAAATCAGTATTAATAACGTTTCCTTTGTTACTATGGAAATATCGTGATAATATCAAAATCTGAAAAATTAGCCGTATTAAAGTTAAAGTGAAAAATTAGCCATATTAAAGTTAAAGTGAAAAATTATTCAGTTTAAAAAAGTGATGAAATATTATGAATCAGAGTCGCAATAAGGTTTCAAGATTAGGTTTCTAGATAGGTTACAGGCTAACAAGCATTCTTCTCATATGATCACATATATCTGATAAGATGGTTTCCGAAGTTATCAGAATATGTAGTCTTCTTTCCTTTTTAACTAGTGCGATATCATTTATTACTTCATTTATTGCACTTTTCCCTCAAATTATACAAACTTACAAAGATAAAACTGTTGAAGCTATATCACCATATTTTTTAACGTCATGGTTGATTGGTGATGTCATGTCATTAGTAGGTGCTATACTTACGAATCAATTATATTTCCAAATTGTATTAGCAGTTTATTTTTTAGTTAATGATTTGGTTTTATGTGGTCAATATTATTATTATGGGATATTATACAAGAATAAGTTGAGTCGATTTTCTAATGCTCGTTACAAACCTTTGGACGATGTGTCTGTCGCTGCCACTAGTGTGTTGACTTTTGCTAGTCAAATTGGTAAAGTCAATGCTCAACCAATACGGAGAGAGTCAAGTCCTACTAATGTATGGATGAATGAACAAACGATAGGTTTAATACTGTCCTGGTTAGGAGCTGTATTCTATGTTGGGTCAAGGTTGCCACAACTACTCAAGAATTACAAGAGAAAATCGACAGATGGAATATCTCCATCTTTATTTTGGATGACTTTTACTAGTAATGTTACTTATAATATTAGTATTGTAACCAGCGAAAAATTTTTATCAAGTAATGATAAAAGAGGTTTTATTTTGAACGAATTACCGTTTATCATAGGTAACAGTGGAACAATCATATTCGACATTGTATATTTTTATCAGCATTACATTCTTTATAGAGAAACACAACAGCAACAGCAACAACGGATTAATTCAGAATATATACTAGATGAATTCAATAGTAAAGATGCATTGGATACAGATAGCAACCCAAGTACTAAATAGAGACAATTTGGCATTAACATGAGTTATTGGGGGATTTTAAATCATAAACATAAATAGACAATGAAAATTACAATTATTCTGTACTTTTAAGCAAGCTTAAATATATACTACAGTAGTTAATTAAATAGACTTTTTTTCCATCAACATTAGATTAAAAGACAATTAAGACAATTGATCTCCAGATCAAAAGTAAATACATAATTGATATTCGATTACTGATTCAAATAAAGCATTAGCTTGATTAATAGCAAGATTGAATACTCAAAATTTTTCAAAACCTTGCCTTCTAGAACTCATCAAATAATTACTACATAAAATGAAACAGAAATCCATGGATAGAGAGAGAGACTAGAGCAAGTTAATGATTACCCATCCATAGTAAAGAAACTATCAAGAATCTCAGAACAAAGGCCCTGTATTCTTTCAAGATGACAAATAGTTTGGCTGGCCAAATTTTCGAAATTCATTACGTAGTTTCTTAAGTATGGGAAAGACGAGACAAATAGCTCGATTAGAAGAAGTTTTAAAAAAGAAGACGAAGAAAAAGAAGAAGAAGAGGAAACAGGAAACTGGAATTTGTAGTTTGATGGATGGTTGGTTATTGTAGTCGAGATTTCAACAGTTATTAGAAATTGGGTTTGATTCTAGTAGTAGGAGGGCTGAATCTGTTTGTAATCTCTCTTTTGAAAAGGTTTAAAGAACTATCCATCATTGGGATCTATCTATTAATCGTAGTGCCTGCGAGAGTTTTATTCTTTGAACAACAGGAACTATTAAAAATTGTGTAGATGGTATACGATTCATTACAATTAATAATGGCCTTTAGCTGGAAGGTGTATATTGTAATTGTTGATGACGGTTAAACTTAAAAATATTCATATATAAATAATGCATTACTTGGTTATAAATTTGAATTCCTGTTCTTGCTTATATTTGAAATTATACCTTAATATAAATATATAACCAAAACCAAAATATTATTAAAGGTAATACCAATAGGATCAATATAACATCGATATATATCTGCTCTCTTTGAATTATCACAAAACTTATAAACAAATAACAACAGACAAACAAATCAACCCTCCAAAAGTTCAACAATGGCTCACAACAAAGTTACTATCATCGGATCTGGTCCAGCTGCTCACACTGCTGCCATCTATTTAGCAAGAGCTGAAATTCCACCAACCTTATATGAAGGTATGTTTGCCAATGGTATTGCTGCTGGTGGTCAATTGACTACCACTACTGAAATTGAAAACTTCCCAGGTTTCCCAGATGCTTTAACTGGTAGTGAATTGGTTGAAAGAATGAAACAACAATCTACTAAATTTGGTACTACCGTCATTACTGAAACTATTTCTAAAGTTGATTTATCTTCAAGACCATTCAAGCTATGGACAGAATTCAATGAAGATGCCGAACCAATTACTACTGATGCTCTAATTATTGCAACTGGTGCCTCTGCAAAGAGAATGCATATCCCAGGTGAAGAAACTTATTGGCAAAAGGGTATCTCAGCTTGTGCTGTTTGTGATGGTGCTGTTCCAATCTTTAGAAACAAACCATTAGCTGTCATTGGTGGTGGTGACTCTGCTTGTGAAGAAGCTGAATTTTTAACCAAATACGGTTCAAAAGTTTACCTATTAGTTAGAAAAGATCACTTAAGAGCTTCCACAATCATGCAAAGACGTGTTGAAAAGAATGAAAAGATCGAAATCTTATATGACACTGTTGCTTTAGAAGCCCAAGGTGATTCCAAATTACTACAATCTTTGAAGATTAAAAACGTCAAGACTGATACTGAATCTGAATTACCAGTTAACGGTTTGTTCTACGCTATTGGTCATACACCAGCAACTCAAATTGTTAAGGGTCAAATTGACCAAGATGAAGTCGGTTATATTAAAACCATCCCAGGTACTTCTGAAACTTCCGTTCCTGGTGTATTTGCAGCTGGTGATGTCCAAGATTCTAGATACAGACAAGCTATCACTTCTGCAGCTTCTGGTTGTAAAGCAGGTCTTGACGCAGAAAAATATTTGGGTTCATTGGAAGAATAAATTAGTTTCATCCCAGCGGTAAACGACATTTTTAATAAATAACATCAATCTGATTTTATAGATATATAACGATAATACATTAATACTTTTTAATGAATCTTAAAATTTTAAATAGTTCATCCACCACATTCACAAGAGATCAAGAAGTATCTATTGCTCGTATATAACTCGGGTTTCTTTCATGAGACATGAATTTAAGATAATTTAATACAAACGGATTTAATGAATTCTTAAGCATCGTAAGGTTTCTTGTCACGATCTACAAACATATAAATATGATCAATTAATCAACTAGACATCGAATTACTGTCACTTCCATCAACTGGAAATCTTTCATCATACTCAACGAGTATTATTAATATGGTTCCAGTCCCTTTTCTCTAATATTCGGATCCGAAATTTTTGACTCATTGTATGTAAAAGTATATATAAAGATTAAGCCTGCCAACTAACGTATTACAAAATGTGATGAATATTATTTTAAATGAACTTATTATGAATCTATTGATACCAGAGTGATATCCCAGAACCTCAAATAAGAATTATAGTAGTTTTAAAGATGTCAAGTTCTGAGTTATTGAAATTTACAAAGAAATTATTGGTTTCACCACCAACTCTGACACCACAAGACCTCTTTGAAGCAATTAGAATAATTTTATTGAGTTTGGAAAAACTACAAGATGGGGATAATGATGATTCTGAATTGTTGAAGACTTATGTGCAAATTGGTAGTTTTCTAACTAGTTTGAGAACTACTGGGTTGGATCATAAAGCAGAATATATTGCCGAAGGTGCAAAAGCTGTGTTAACATTTTCTGATAATGTTTTCATAGAAGCAGATGATGTTGAACAACAAGATATTGTTTTAGATATAGTGGGTACTGGTGGTGATGGTCAGAATACGTTTAATGTATCTACTTCTGCTGCAATTGTTGCTTCAGGGATTCCGGGTTTAAAAATTTGTAAGCATGGTGGTAAAGCTTCCACTTCAAATAGTGGTGCAGGTGATTTGATTAATACTTTGGGTTGTGATTCTTCAAAAGTTAATAACAAAACAGTTCCTGTTTTATGGAATGATGACACTAACAAATTTTTATTCTTGCTGGCTCCTTACTTCCACAATGGTATGAAATATATCGCCCAAATAAGAAAACTATTAGGCATACCAACAATATTTAACGTATTGGGACCACTTTTGCATCCAGTAAATTTAGTTCATAAACGAATTTTAGGTGTATACTCTAAGGAATTAGCTCCAGAGTATGCTAAAGCTGCAAAGTTGGTTTATCCAAATAGTGAAATTTTTGTTGTTTGGGGACATGTAGGATTAGATGAAGTTTCTCCAATTGGTAAAACAACTATCTGGCATGTTAGACCAACTTCTGAAGAAATCGAAACCTTTGACATTGATCCTTCCATGTTTGGATTAAAAGAACATGCATTATCTTCATGCTCATCATACGGTCCAGAAGAAAATGCAAGAATTTTAAAAGAAGATATCTTAAGTGGTAAATATACTTTAGGTGATGACCACCCAACTTATGATTACATTCTATTAAACACAGCTGTATTGTATTGTTTAAGTCAAGGTAATAAAAACTGGATAGAAGGTATAAATATAGCTAATGAAAGTATACGTCAGGAAATTCCTAAAAAAAGTTAAATGCGTTCATTTGAAATGTCCAAAAACCTTTAATATATTAAAAACCATATTACCTGCTATTCACTATGAAACAAAATTAAAAGGAAAAAACTTCAACATATATACAAGTACAATTGCATCATTATAAATAGTATTTATTTATATTTATATAGTCACTTGATATTAACGGACAGTAGCATTATATTATTTCTCTTTCTGTTTATTTTTATTTTTTGATCTCTAATCCAGTTGAACGTCCCAATTTTAAATAAATATATACCAAAATCCCAACCAATCTCATCTATCAGTTACGGTATCCAAACTAATCACATCCACTTTACTCATCAATTCTTGTCTACCAGCATCGGTCATCAACGATTTGGCGTCTTTACTATACATCATAATTGAATTTTAAAGCTTTAATACGCGTAAAGTATCTACACAAAATAAAAACATGTTAAATATTTATATTCAAAACAAGAAGATAATGAGATGAAGTATAGACGATTAATAGTTTAGAGGTGGTTTAGAAGGTTAGGAACTTGTGCCAGTGAGATTACATTTTGATAGATTTGGTGTGAACAGTTTGGTTTTGCTTTGGTGGAATCTCCTTTTTTAGTTTCCGATTTAGAAATATATTATTATTATTATTATTATTATCGTTATATTCATCAAATCAAAGAGATTGGCGAAATAAACAGTAATATTTTAATATTGTTATTATATTTTAAAACAATGGATCATACTGGTGAACAGAATATCCAATCGGTAAAGAGTTATGAATTTACGCCAATTGGTTATATAAAGGAGAAACAAAATAATGGTGCTAGTAAGAGACCTAATGAATCGCCAATTAAGGAATCCATGCAAGATACTTTTAGAAATGAGAGTCCTCCAAGGAAAGTTAGAAGGACAAGTATTGATGATGCGATGAATTCCAGGATGTTTAATGATTCTATGCAATTCGATGATACTTTGCCAGAACTGGATGTCAATTTGCAGAGTAGTAAATTGACATCAATAAATATGAATAAAAAAAATTTAATAAAAGAATTAAAAGAAAATTCAAATGCTTCAAATCCTTTAAAAGAACAACAAGAACAGTTAAGTAAACTGACAACGGAAAATTATAATTTGAAATTGAAATGTAATTCATTGTTAAAAGTATTAAATAACGTAACTGATCAGGGTGAATTAAGGAAAAGTTTAGAATTTTTAGATGAAATTGAAGAATGGAAATCTAAATATTCAACTGCCAATAGTGAATTTAATCTTTTAAAGATAAAGTATGATGATTTAGTAATAAAGTTTCGCAATTTAGAATCAAAAGTAGACGAACAAGAATCAGAAGTTGAAGATCATACAAGATGCATTATTGAACGTGACAATTTGCAAAATAAGATTGATAAGTTGTCTGAAGAATTAGGGACTTTGAATGATAAACTTGACACAATAACGAAAGAATTGATAGCAAAAGATGAATTGATAGCTTCAAATGAAGAAGACATTAAACAACTAAATAGTCACATTGATACTTTAAAAAATACAATTAGAGGTTTGGAAGAAACAATTATTGAAAAAGATGATAATCTGAAGAAACAGAAAGATGAAATTAAAACTTTGAACAATAATTTAAATGATTCAGATCATTTAGGTAGTGAATTTTTATTGTTACAAAATAAATTGAAAGAAAAAAATTCTCAAATTAGTGTACTAGAGAATAATTTAATTGACTCAAAAAATACAGCAACTGAATTGAAAACCAGATTGGAAAATCTACAGAAGGAATACGATGATAAATTGAGAGAAAAAATAAACCAAATACACAAACTAGATGATAACATTAAACAACTGAAATCTGAACGAGACTCTAAATATGTATCTCTTGATACAAATGATAAGGTTAGAAAAGATTTTGAGCGAATGAGAGAAAACAATGCTAATTTAGATTCTAAGCTATCACAAATATCTAATGAAAATAAACTATTTAGAGATAAAATTTCCAAGCTCTCCAATCAATTGGATGATACCAAAAGGGAAAGAGACAATCAAGTTGAATTGATGAAGAGAAGAATTGATGAAATCATAACTAATAATAATAGGGAAAATAGTATTGCCGCTGATAAATCCGAAGAAATTAGAGAGAAACAGGAAGCTCATATTAATGAATTACAAAGAAAATTAAATGATACATTGAAAGTACAGACTTTATCAATTTCAACTGTAGAAGATAAATTTAAAGCTGAAATACTAAAAACAAAGAAGGAGTTGGAAGAAAATGCCCAAAAACTTCAGAAATCAGAAGAGTTAGTAAAAGAATTAAAAAGACAAGTAATAGAAAATACTACCAATGCGTCAGAGAGAAATTCAAAAAGATTAGAGACAAAAGACAAAGAAATCAATTTACTTAAGAATGATATTATCGAATTAAAGAATAAAATCAACAGTTTAGAAAAGGACTCTAAGCTTGAAGACAATAATCTGAGAGAATATTATACCAATAAAATAAGGCAAATTGAGGAAGAATCTTTAAATGAAAAAGTTAAGTTAGAAAGAGAAATCTTCATGCTTAAATCCGAAAGAGATACTCTAATAGAGTCCAATAAACACGATATTAACTTCTGGAAATCAAAGTGTAATTCTCTAGAGAAACAAAATGAAGCTCTATTGAGTCAAGAAAATGAGGGTTTCTCATCAGTAAATTTGAAGCTGAATCAAAGATTAAAGGAACTGGATGAACTATTGAATCAAAATAATACATTGAAAAAGGATAATATGGAACTAACGAGAAAACTTTCCAAATCACAAATTTTAAATGAAGAATATAAAGTGGAATTGAGGAAGGCGGTTGCTGATCTAGACATGGCAACTAAAGAATATCAAAAATCTAAGGATTTTACTAAGATACGAGGCAGCGATGACAGTAATTTTGAACTTGATAATATGAGAAAGAATTTACTAATCATGAAAACTAAGTACAATAATATCAAAAAAGATTATTTAACCAAATTATCCGAATTACAAGAAGAAAATTTACAATTAGAGAAGAAGTTATCGATGAATCAACCGACATCAAGATCATCTGACAATGCTGCTGCTGTGCAACAAGATAGAATTGATTATTACCGATTAAAATATCATAATGAAGTAAAATCAAATAATGATTTGAAGGTAATGAACGAATATCTAAACCGTGTTCTAATGGCAGGGTCTCAGCAAATACGTTTGGATCTTTTGAAACTAAAAGAGGAGATGAATTTGAATGATTATAATTATTCTAACTTTCCTAATAGAGATTACTACAACAGTAGAAATCCATATGAAAGCGCATATGATTTCAGGTTTGTCAATAATTCGCACAACATATTTGAAAATCGTCACCGTAAGAAGTTTAAAACAATAGCATTATTAGTTAAGGCATGTGTTAGGATGAAGAATACAGCTATAAAACGTAGATGGGACGAACAACGTATCAACTATTTACAGAGGAAAATAGCTGTTGATGACAATCGCATTACTTGGTGATCGATATATCTTCATTGTAACATTATAACCCTTGAATCACTGGAATCAATAAATACACATAACATTCATTATTTCATTATAAATATATATAGTAGGAAATTCTTATATATTAACTCTAACATTAATTACCATTTAATTTTCTGTATTCCTTTAGAACGTCGTCTATTCTGCCATGGAAAGTATCAGATATCATTTCGATTTGATCCAGCATAGTGAAATAATTCTCTAATTCTTCACATTTACTTAGTATATCTTTAAAACTTTGTATATTTACATCCACTATATCTTCTACAACATTCTGTGAGATCAATTCATTTTGCCTTTGACAAACCTCTTTTGTCTGTATCTGGATAGAATTGACATAATCATTGATCTTGTACAACAAGTAATCATAATCCACACTAAGTTTGTCAATTCCTAGCATTTCCTCATTATTAGAATTGATCTCTTCATCTCCCTTCGAAGAGCTCATCGCAAGAATTCCAAACTGTAATGACAATATCTAAAATATGTCAATTTGTTAAAAAACTAATAAAAACAGGTAACAAAAGAGAATTCAAACAAACTTCAGATATATGTTATATATAAACACTTTGATTTTCTTATAATGTTTCAACAATTCATCGTATCATCATAGAAAGATCATTATCGATCATGTATCGATGTATTACTATTCTATTATATACTAGTTCTATTTCCTAACCGTACTATGTAGAGTGATCTCATTTCGAATCCAATTCCGAAAAATCTAAACAGTGTTACCCTCACTTAACTAGGGTTATACATCACATGACATAACCCTAATTGTAGGGTGGGATTAAACCCTAGGGTGTTTATGATCTGTCATCTGAAATAAAAAAAAAATATTTAAAATTTAAAATTTAAAAGGAGACAAATAATGTTTAAAACTAACTTTAATTAAGAACTTAGGTAGATTTTTTGTAATCGAGTAGGCCAATTGAAGATCCCATTGGGTTAATTGAGGTATTGTGTGAATATTTCCATTAGTTTTAGTTTGTTCCCCTTTTAAATTTAGAACTTACTACGTTAAAAAAGACGTTAAAAACCCCAAAAGTTTTTTGAATCGAAATTTGTTGAATTAACACACTTTATACTCATAAGCAAAAAGTATTTCATATTTGAATTATGTCTCACGGTATATATTTAACAGATGCTCCAGTTAGGAGACCACAAACTAATGGTAATCCATTATTAAGAAAAATTCAAAGAGCTTGTAGAATGTCTTTATCAGAACCAGATTTAGCTTTGAATTTAGATGTAGCAGATTACATTAATGAAAAGCAAGGTGCTTCTTCAAGAGATGCTGTTATCACTATTGCTAGATTGATTAATACAAGGGATACACATACCGCTGTGTTTGCCTTGGCTTTGTTGGATGTTTTGGTTAAAAATTGTGGTTATCCTGTGCATTTACAAATTTCGAGAAAAGAATTTTTGAATGAATTGGTCAAAAGGTTTCCTGAACACCCACCAATGCGTTATTCTAAAGTTCAGAGATTAGTGCTTACAGCTATCGAAGAATGGTATCAAACTATTTGTAAACATGCTACTTATAAAGAAGATATGGGATTTATTAGAGATATGCATAGATTATTGAAATACAAAGGATATGTTTTCCCAAAAATCGATGATAGTGAATTATCTGTTTTAAGACCAAATAATAGCTTAAAATCCGCAAGTGAAATTCAAAAGGAACAAGAAATTGCACAGGCTGCAAAATTGGAAGAATTAATTAGACGTGGTAAGCCAGAAGATTTAAAAGAAGCAAATAAATTAATGAAAATCATGGCTGGTTTTAAGGAAGATAACCTTGTACAAGCAAAACAAGCAATTGTTCATGAATTAAACAAGTTGAAACGTAAAGCAGATTTGTTAAATGAAATGCTAAATTCAACAGAAGGACTACAAAACGAAACCGTAGAAGAATTATATGGTTCATTAAAGTCTGCTCAACCAAAATTTCAAAAAATCATTGAAGAAGAACAAGATGAAGACACAGAATTGGTTCAAGATCTATTGAAATTCAACGATAATGTTAATCAAATATTAGAGAAATACAGACTGTTGAAGGACGGTAACACCGCGGCAGCATCTCAAATTAACCCAGCTGCTATGTCATCAGCAATTCAAGATAGTCATACTGGTGCTCTTGCTAACGAATTGAACTTGATTGATTTTGATGATGATATGGGTTCGGAACCTTCTGCTCCAGTATCAACAAATAATGCTACCACCTCTGCAGCTGCTTCTGCCGATCCTTTGGCGGATTTATTAGGCGATTTGGGTGATATGAATATTTCAACTCCATCAAACCAACTTTCATTCGGTCAAGGAGGAGATATATCCTTAGGCTCTTCCCAACCTGCAAAACCAGTTTTAAATACAGATCCTTCTTCATTATCTACACAAAATGATGCATTCGATTTGTTAGACGGGTTTGATACCGCCTCTCCATCGGCTTCAAAAACAAGTCAAAGGGTTCTTGTTAATCAATCATCCAATTTAAAATTAGATTTCGAATTAACTAAAACTTCAAACTCTTCAGTTGATGTTAAAGTAATCTTTTCTAACTTATCATCAAATACAGTAAATGACTTAACATTTTTATTGGCTGCTCCAAAGACAATGACATTAAAATTATTGCCTCAATCTGGTAATTCTATGAATGCTTTAGTTTCAGATGGTATCACTCAAACTGCTAAAATTGAAAATGCCACTCTGGATGGCGCTAAACCTTTGAAATTGAAATGGAAGGTAACATACACCGTTAATAATTCACCTGTAGAAGAAACTGCAGTTTTCACTTTACCAAAAGTATAAGAATATTATTTATTTTTTATTATAAAGTTTAAAGCTAAATAGTATCCCATTACATCCGTCACTAATGTATAACATAGTATTTTGTAATTAGTAATTTTTGATTTAAAATGAAATATAATATTGTTACAATTAAAATATATATTTATATATGCAGAGTAAATGTTAGCTCGTATGCTAAAAAAGTTTGAAATTATAAAAAATTTACAATGACGCTTATAATATTGAAGTGGGTAGAAACAGAATAATAAAGAAAATGCATAAAATAACAGGTAATTGCTCAGTTAGTGAAATATAAGCATCTGAAATCTAAAACCCATATACTATTTTACTTTTGTATTCTTTGTAAAATTTCTTGTGGAGTTGGTGAAGTAATTTTAGATCTTTCAGGAGATGAACTGCTATTACCATTATTATTCGTAATACTATTATTATTATTCGCAATACTACTATTATTATTATTAGCCCCATTGCCTGTGGAAGAGAGCTTAGTTCCTGAACTAGTTTGCTGAACATTAACACTCGAATTGGAAAAGGTAGAATTAGAACTTTTATCCTTCAACCTTTGTAATTGTCTTACTTGTTCTTCTTTTAATGATTTAACATAATTTTGAGCAGCTTTTAGGGCTGTCTCAGGAGGAATTCCTGGCTTTTGTTGTATGATCTTTCTAGAATAAGTCTCGATAATTTCACGTTCAGTCAACTGCGGACGGGAGCCCTTTTGATAAGGGGATTGGCTTACAATATTCCTAGATGACTGATTAGTTGAACCACTTGAATTTGGAGTAACATTACCATTAATGTTACTGGAACTATTTTCGGAAGCATTATTCGGTACACCTTGAGAAGATGGTCTGTTTTGCAATTGTTGCTGTTGCTGTTGCTGTTGCTGCTGCTGTTTTTGTTGTTGCTGTTGCTGCTGTTGTTGCTGCTGCTGCTGTTGCTGCTGTTGTTGCTGCTGCTGCTGCTGCTGTTGCTGTTGTCTTTGTTGTTGTTGTAAACGGTTTTTAACATTACGTCTCATCTGCATGTCGCGACGTAATGTTTCATCTCTCTGGGCTTTCAAATTAGACATCTCTGCGGGTGTAGGCACTTTCATATTTTTGCAATCAAGAGGCTTTCTTGCTTGACTTGGATTAGGTCTTGGTGCATTCTCCCTTTTCTTCATGCACTTTCGCATAGCTTCAAACATACTGGCCCAACGTAATCTTCTGTGACCACGTTGAATTGACTCCAGTCCAACACCTAGAGGCGAAATTCTTCTATTTTGTTTTTGCTGAAATTTATGAGCTTCCATTAACCAATGTTGGGCGTTATGTGCTCTTGGGCCCTTTAGATCGTTAAAGTTGAATCTTTCATTTAATTGTACAAATCGTTCAAAACATTGCCAAGGGGTTCTTCTTTCTATATTTGAATAATATGAACATCTTGGTCGCCTTAGCATATGTGCAGCAATCAATTCCCAATTGTAAGCATATGCATTGATATTTTTAACAAGTTCTTCATCATCTTCTGGTAGCCAAATTGTAGGTGTTCTGTTACTTAAGTAACGTTGGGATGGTGCAGGAGGTGGTTTCAAATAATGACTTCTCCTACTACCATAGAACATACCTCTTCTCTTACTCAATTGTAACAATGATTGTTCATCATCTACAATTTGTTTCTCTACTATTTTGAAATAATGTTCATCGTCAAGTGTTACTAATGATTTAGATAGCGGAACAAAAGGTAAAGTGTCTTCATCTTCATTATTAGAATCAACCCCTGTATATAATGTCACATCGTTTATAATAGCCTTTTCTAATGAAGTTAAGTCACTCAAATCAATTGATACTCTATAAGGGAAAAAATCTGGATCTTTCAATCTTTCTTTGTAATCTTCCTTCGAAATCAGCTGTGTTTCGATATCTATATTTTCATCTGTCACTTCATGCAACAAACTAATATCGATGACTTTTAAAGACTTATCTGTTGTAATTGATTTGGGGTTTCCGGAATCATTCATTGTTATATCTTCAGATACTACTGGTTCATTACTTCTGACACCGGAATTGAGGATATACTCTTTGTTATTGACATCTACTGAATCACTTTCATCACGTTTTTTAATTTCAATAGATTCTGATTCAACTGATGCTACTTTATCAGTTAATAAAGATCCTAATTGTTGGTCTTGGTCCTTCATAATGTCTTCAATAGATACTGGTTTCAATTCATTTGTATTATTATCCAGTAATGTTTCTCCAGAAACTTGAATTTCATTTGAAGGAGTTGTCGTTTCCAGATTATTATTTATTTCAATTTTTTCAGAAGATTTGTTGACTTCTTTATCTTCAGGTTCTGTTTTTGTCGAAATGGCATCCACTTCAATGCTTTCTGCTTCAACAGATGAACTTTCTTCTGATGCTGGTAAAAAAATTATTGGTTTTTTATTAATACAACAAATTTTACCATAAGTCCAGTAATCAATAATCGATTGAGCAATTGTTGTACATACAGCAACTTTATATTTATAACCTTCCTTGAAATCTTTTTGCATCCATAATGCCTCTTCCATCATTATTTTATGATGTGATTGTTCTTTTTCCCAAGGATCGATAAATCTTTTTGGTTGTCTTAAAGACCATAAACCTAATCTTCTTAATTCTTCGATTCTTGAACTTACCACTGTAATTCTACCCTCATTTAAGGCATTGTTAATTATATCAGTGGTTAGAGCTTTATGAGCCATAGGCAATAATTTTATCAGTGGCAACGTTTGTGCTAGATATTTTAATTCAGCTAAAGGAACAGCCTGTGCTACTTTAGACGGTATGTTTTCTTTCATAATTAAATATGATGAATCTTTCTTGTTAATATTATTTTCTCTGAAATAATCTATCGCTTCTAATTTTGGTTCAAATATTTCTTTAATAAAAGCATTTTTGATTTGGTTGTCTGTATCCACTGGTGTAGGTTCAACTTTAATGTTAGAAACATTTACATATGCTAATGGGTTATTGTATGCTGAAGATTGGATGTGATAGGAAGTTAATGGATAATGATTCTTGTTTGATTCCTTGTCTTCCTCCGTCTCATCTTTATTAGTTTTAATATTATCAACTTCAGTTTTGATTTTTTTAGAAGCTGGTCCTTTATCATAATTGTCATCATCATGTCTGTTATAATTATCATCTATCATTCTTTTATTATTAACACGCTCAATTATTTTGTTATCGTTAATATTTACAATTTTATTATTTTCAGTTGATATTATCTTTTCATGCCGTAGTGATTTATCCTGATCCATCAATTCAGGGCTTATTTTTTTCGTGAGTATATTATTTTTATTAATGCTTCCTTTTGCACTTCTATTATGAGACGATTCCCTTGAAAGTTGATTTTTATCTATTCGTATTATTTCATTATTTATTGAAGATCCAGAGGATGAATTACTAGAAGATGAGGATGGTATTAAAGGCAATGGTTCTGAAAATTTTGGTAAAGTATCGATTTTAAATCTATTCCCATTTTTAAAATTATTTTTGTCTAAAAACACATCTAAATCTTGTTTAAAAATATTTTGATCTGTGACTTCAAATAATTGATGTAATCTTGAGACACAATACAATTCAACTAATTTCCTCTTTCTCTGTCGTATCAATTCCTGGTATTGTTCATTTGCATTCTTAAATTCCTTTGATTCTGATCCACCCACAGAAGAAGTTGTACTTTCCATTTTTTTCAAAAAACTATAACAATTATATTTTTCTTGATATTATTATTATTGTTATTATTGTTATTATTACCACCAGAATACAGCCTTCTTGGCTTTAATAAATGGAATGGTGAAAAAAAAGGCAGTAAAATGAAGGTAAAGTGAGTTGTAGAGGTCCTCGAGTAATAATAATTGATCAATTGTACTTATAAGAAGGATAACCTCAGTTGTTTGATAGGAATCTTCAACCTTAATACTAATATTCCAGTATATAATAGCAGCAGTCTTTCAATACAATAATATATCTTCTACTTGTTTTCACCTTCTTCTCACGTGATCAATTATGAAAATTTCGATTCTCAAAAAAATAAAAGAAAAACAACAAAATTTTGGAGAAGATGTATTGTAAAATTGAAGAAAAGCAGCTAAAATGACAAAAACTAAAGTACTTAAGATAGCTAAAAGACTCTCTGACGTTCTATAATGTTTATGCTAATGTAAAATACTAGTCTCTAACTCTTTAAACAACTCTTTAATACTATATTCCTCCTATTGTTTGTAATTTTTGACCCTATGTAACTGTTCATCATCACTTATTTTTCGTTGACTTTTTTTTTTTTGCCACCAAAACTATTTCCTCGTACTAAATGACTACCAATTTAAGGTACCTTCGACACGGAGAATTAAATAAATTTGGGATCACATGACCATGTTAAAAATTGAATCAAACTGGGAAAAGGATCAGGCTCATCGCTTATTTATCATATTATGTTAAGATTGATTAAATGGTGAAAAGAATTACTATATGATCTGTTGTGATAAATTACACTTCCTATATTATCAAAATCATGCATATAGGCAACTGATTATATTTGTTTAAATGAAATTGTTTATGTTACTTATATATATATATATAGACATATGTGAAATTAATCTTGTTTTGTCCATTGACATTCAAAACTGAAAGAGTAAACATATCTTCTGATCTATTCACTTAATTTCAAATACATTTACTTATATTTATATAGATCTTGTTATTATTGTAATTGTTGTTGATTTATTTTTATGGGGAGGAAGATGAGTGTTTGATTTCTTACCATTTAGAAATTTCTTCTTCTAACTCATCTATTGATTTAATTAATCCTTGATGATCCATTACCATGTATGAACTTATGATACCTTTTCTTGCTTCTGAATCAACATGTAATTTGGCATATTTTTCAAAAAATCTATCTTCTTCATGGAAATAATCGATTTCTTCAGACTTAACTCTTTTTTTAGATCTATCCACTGTTTCATCAGTATCAAAATTAACTTCATATTTTCTACTGACAATTGCATAAAAATCGTAATGTTTATCATCTCCTAATGCGTTTGTTACATCTTCTAATGTGATTCTATACAAAGGAGTTATAACTTCTGGGGGCATATTGATTAATCTTTCACTCATGACTAATGCACAAGTTTTACCATTATTTTCAATTGTCTTTAAAAATGTAGATAATTTTAAATCTACTTTATGTAAATATTTGGCCCAGTCACTTTCACGGTTTTCTTTATAATCAATAAAGGACAAAAAGCAGTATGGATCAGATTCTTGGCCATCTGTCTTGATTGTAGTAGTTGGTGATTTTAAAACTAAATCAGCTAGATTACTTAATTGAACTCTATTACTTTCTTGTTGGCCTAAAAGTTGGCGTGATAAATTTTTAATAGCATGGAAATCAACATCTGGATTACCATTGAAAAAATCAAAATCAATATTAACTATTTCTTCATCTTCTTGATCTGAACCATTTCCAGTCTCGGAATCAGTACTGCTGATGTCAATATCAGATTCAGAATCATCACCTCTGCTGTCATTAGCACGCTTCTTGTTGGTTAATTCACTCAATCTGATAGCTTGAACCATTTCTGCTTAAATATAAAAAGCCAAAAATAGATATATTATAAACTAATTGGTATCACTTCTTATTGAGCCTCTAAAATCATTCCATTTCCCAATAATAACATCATTCCCAACTCATCTTCTTCATTAAACGTCAAACCAAATTTCATTTTATAGGTTTAAATGCTATATGGGCGATTGAAGAATGGATATCGGAAAATTTTCCCAGTAGTAAAAATAAAAAAAGTATTAACATATAGCAGTAGAATTGATGTCACTAATTAAATTGATTCAATTTGGATAGTGATTGTATGGTTAATAGAATGTATTTGGTTTTGAAATAAATTTAAGACATCATAAAATGTGTGATACTATTAGATATAGTTATAATAATCAAGAAACTTGATTGTTTTTAGTCTTGGTTTTAACGATTTTTAAGATAATGGAAGTAAAAATTAATTGATCCTTTAAGATACAGAATTTATGTGTCACATCAAAATTGATATTAATATTTTGATTTATGATGTATAGATACATGGTTATTGTTTTATGTTTGATCAGTTTCATAGTTATTCTTTGATTTATTTTATTGTTGATAATTGCTTGTACCACATTATTATTATTATTCTTTTTATTTTGTTATATTAATAATGGTGGGATATTAATAAATATCTTGCTTTGTAAATGACTCAAAGTTCAAGAATTTAAATGATTATTATAACGTTACTTCATATATTATTCTTTATTAGAGGTATCCAAGGATTGCATTTTTATATTTTTCCAGGTGATACTAAATGTTTCTATGAAAATTTGAATAAGCATGAACAAGTCACTGGTGATTTCATCCCAATTTCAATAACGGATGTTCAGGAACCTATTAGTAGGGAAATATTAAAAAAGTTAGAATTTAATTTGAATTTGACTATCCATGAGCCATTTTCAAATAATGAGTTGGTTTATAATAATTTTGAAGTAGCAGTTACAAACTTTACTTTTACTGCATTATCAAATGGTGAACACAAGATTTGTGTGACCCCAACGATTACAGATTATAATAAATTAATTACATTAGAGGTGGATTTAAGCAGAACAAAAAATAATCTTTTAAATTCACAGAGATTTGATACTGTAGATGGTATTCATTACAGAATAAATAATCTTGTGAAAAGATTATTAGAGATTAAAAAAGAACAAAAATTGGACATGTTAGAGGAAACAACTAGAATTTCAAATAGTGAATCAACAAGAAGAAAGATTGTCTTATTTTCTACGATCCAGTTATTAGTAATAATAATATTTTTCTCTATTCAATTGAAAAGACTAAAACTAATGACAATTAAAAAAAAAATTCAATGACCATTAATTCGGTTTTCAAGTGTGGTAAAAGTATGAAACAACTTGACCTCAAAATCAATAAATAGAATATACAACATTTGAATCTGTTAAGTAGCTCTAATTTATATAATACAGTACACTCTCTCATTATCTTTCCAAGTTAAAGTTTGTTACAATCAAAAATTGAAATATCTTAACCTTTTTATTTTACTTTTTTTGATTTAGCTTAATAATATGTTATGAGATGCGATGAGCTTAAATGAAAAATATATACATATTTAAAGCACATTATGTAAGTAATTTTCAATTTAAAACTATAGAAGACACAATTTCTTATGTGATATAGATTCCAGTAGTATAATAATCTTAGTATCATATAGATTATATATCAAGATGGTTGAAGTATCAGCTGAAGTTCTTGCTGAATTAGAACTACTGAAGAAGGAAAATGCTAAACTGCGGAGCCAACTTGATTCTCAAAAGTCTGATAAACTACCAATGAGTTTACAAGAATTTCAAAGATATGGTAGACAAATGATTGTTGAAGAAACTTCAGGTATCGAAGGTCAATTGAAATTGAAAAATTCAAAGGTATTAGTTATTGGTGCTGGTGGTTTAGGTTGTCCAGCTTTGTTATATTTAGCCGGTGCTGGTATAGGTACTATTGGTATAGTTGATAACGACACAGTTGATAATTCTAATTTGCATAGACAAGTCTTACATGATTCTTCTAAAGTTGGGATGTTGAAATGTGAATCTGCTAGACAAAGAATTAATTTATTAAATCCTCATGTCAACGTCAAAACTTATCCAGTAAGATTGGACTACAGTAATGCATTTACCATCTTTGAAAATTATGATTATGTATTAGATTGTACTGATACACCAATTACAAGATATCTAGTGTCCGATGTAGCAGTAAATTTGGGAATGACTGTCATATCTGCTTCAGGGCTAGGTTCTGAAGGACAATTATCAATATTAAATTTCAAAAATGAAGGACCATGTTACAGATGTTTTTATCCAACTCCCCCTCCTCCAAATTCAGTTTCATCTTGCCAAGAAGGTGGTGTCATTGGTCCATGTATTGGTCTTGTTGGTACTATGATGGCAGTTGAAACTTTAAAAGTTATTTATGATATTTACACACTAGAAAATTTTAAACCATTTTTGATGATGTATTCAGGTTTCCCAAATCAAACTTTACGTACATTTAAGATGCGAGGTAGGCAAAATAACTGTGAATGCTGTGGGTTAGATCCAAAGATAACAAGGGCAGCAATTGAATCAGGATTAGTAAATTATTTTGAATTTTGTGGGTCTAGAAATTATAACCTCTGCACAGATGAAGAAAGAATATCCTCTGAAATTTATAAAACGGAATTTATTGATTGTAATGAAAAAGATCATATTCTGATAGATGTTAGACCAAGACACCACTTTAATATATCTCATTTTAATCATGCAATTAATATTCCAGTAAAGGAATTAAAAGGTATGAAAGGTTCCTTGGATATATTAAAGGAATCTGTTCCAAATGTTTCACAAGATTCTAAAGTTATTGTATTGTGTCGCTATGGTAATGATTCTCAAATTGCCACCAGATTATTAAAAGATGAGTTCAAAATCAATGACGTCAAAGATGTTAAAGGTGGCTTTTTTAAATATATTGATGAGGAAGACCATTCATATCCAAAATACTGATTTTCCCCATAAAAAGCTTTATTTTTAATATTACATGGTACTATATAAATTATATGATATATGTTATTAATATAAACATTAAGAAGATCGTGGCTTTCTTTTTCATTAAGCAGCGTATTATTTTTATTAATCGACTTAGTAATTTCCCAGTCTTTCAATTGTTAACAAACCAGCGGCATTTGCAAAGGCATAAAATTTTGCTCCATTTCTAGTTTCATTCCATTTAACAGATGTAATAGATACTCCATGTGGATTCACTTCCATTTTACAAATATCATTTGCTCCTGATTTCAAAACTTCATAAGAATGGTTCAAACGATAAATATCACCGTTCTGACTGAAATCCCATTTCCATAATTTCAGAGATTTGTGTATTGTAGCAGTATTTTTGACACCTGTTAAAAGCTTTCTTGCTATATTATCAATAACTAGAGAACCATCTGCACAGCCAGTTAATGTCAATGGATGTAGCCCTGATGATGCGATAGATGTCACTGTATTGTGTAGAGATAATACTGCATGAGGGAAGATTGCTCTAGGTGTTACAGTTTTTGTAGAATTACTACCATCTGACACTAAGTATGCGTAAAGGTTGGGTATATAGGCCACCGGTAGTATATTATTTCCTTTAAATCTTGCAATCAATGTCCTTGTTGATTGAATATCGATCGGATCAAATTCATAAAAATAACCATCTACAGAAACAGTAGATACCACTGGATTTTCAAACTTTGAATATGCAACAACAATATTGATTATATAAGAATCATGCATTTTCCTGTAAAAAGATGGAATCAAAGGATCTGTTAAGTCAAAATGACTGACGTAACCATTTTTTGAACCACAGATAATAGTTGTCGGAGATAGAAAATCGAAACATGTAATCATAGTATCTGGTAATGAAATTGTGATTGAGGCTGACTCACAGTAAAATATACTATGATCGTTCTCATCATTGGGGGTTTTGACTTCTATAAATTTCACAGTACCTTCTTGACAAGTAAAGCTTAATACTCCGATATTATTGTTATTTACAGAACATCCTTCATGCCATTTTAGGTTCCATGTTTCACCAAAATTATGCAGTATGGTTTCAAATTTTGTTAATCTTAGATTCTCAGAATCAAAGTTGTAAATTTGTATGCAAGATATATGCGATTCAGTCTCAAACTGTTCTAAATGCCTATCTAATGGTTTACCGCTGTATTGGGATAGTGATACCGCTATGAACTGGCCAGCACCATCTGCAGAATTATTTAACCAAGCAATATCAGTAACCAAGGCGCCACAATTGTATACGAATCCATTTCTAGTTCCATAATCAAGCACTGGGAATTCAGTTTTTTCATCTACATTTAGATTAACTTCGGTATTCCCAATTCTTACCGGTATTGACTTAGGGGTGAATTTAAATTGATCTAACATTTCTTTAGTTTGCAGTAATCTATATTTAGTTGCATTGTCTTTGTTTATTAACTTGTCATAAATATCAGATCCTTCAATAACGGTAGGTGGATTTATCTCAACACAATATTTCGAATCAGTTTGTACTCTTTCAAGGGGGAAATCAAAAACACAATCTTCAAAACCACCTTTAATCTTTGCCAAATCTAATAGTTTTCCTTCATTAGAACCATAAAGTCTTGCAATTTTATCCCTTGCAGAGGACATATCCTTTAAAAACCTAAATATACGTACCTTTTTCTCTTGAGGGCCTGGGGTAGATGCCTTAGAATTGCTTTTCTTTGTAACCTTTTGTCTAGCTTTTTTTGTTGTCTTCTTTGAAACAGTAGAATCCTCCACATCCTCAAGTTCAATCTCCAGATCCTCGAAGTCATTATCTACCTCAACAGCTGTATCGACAATAAAATTGGGATCCAATTCCTCTTGGGTATTCTTTGCAAGTCCATCGCTATCAGTCAATTGTGTAACTTCCAATTCAACTTTTTTCACTTTTGTTTTCCTGGCCCTCTTACGTGTAGCTTCTTTAACAGCTGTGGTGACTAAAGTTGTTATATCCTGAGTAACAGTAGGATCAGCTATTTGATCATTTTCAGATTTTTTGGGTCTACCTCTTCCCCTCTTAACTGGCATAATATAGTCTTAAAAATATGAAAACACCAGTATTCTTTATGCCAATTCTCGCAATGCCAATTCTCGCAATGCCAATTCAATATTTATATTTTCTTTAGACATCTATATACTTCATTTCAAAACCTTATTACTTCCTCTACTTGGATAATGCTCTATTATTGTTTATTTAAATATTATTTATATTGCTCCTTCCAGTTTTCGAATGGAACTACAATCATTATATACGCACTATTTTATCACGTGATAAGTCATCAATGGATTAACTACTTTATCTTCATGTCTTTATTGAATCTATCTATACATGATTTTGTTTCTTGTCAAGAGATCTCAGATACTCAAAGTCAAATCCATACGACTGTCAATTTCTATTGCTCAATACCATCATTACCTTTTATAGGAGCATATCCATTATTTAATTTTAATATTGCCATTCTTTTAAGCATATCTTTTCTAAAGAAATATAGTGTGACATTTCTTCAAATTGTTTTACTTGGGTATTAAACAATTTTATTTATATTATAATCATATATTAAACTTGTTAAGTTGAGGTATAAAATACAAAAAAAAGTATTTAGATTATGCGACTATTTTAAACTAAGAGTAAAATCTAATTCTTATTTATAATTCAAGGTCCATTTCCTCTGTGGACTTCTGTAACTAAGTTATTATAATTGGTTCATACCTGACATCAGACATTAATTTGCTTCATCTTGTAAGTTTTGTAATGCAGATGCAAGATCTTTAATTAAATCATCAGCAGATTCACACCCAACAGAAACTCTAACTAAAGTTTGATCAATATGAGGATCTGATAAGGCCCTCCATTCAACCAATGATTCAACACCGCCTAGTGAAGTCGCATGTTGAAAGTATTTCAATTGAGATGCAAAACTCTTGCATTGTTCAACTGTATTTAAGGTGATTGAAAATACAGGGTTATAACCACCCTTCAGTTGTTTCTTAACAAAATCTTCCTTTTGTAAGGAGGAATGAGTAATATCTCTTAGAACTTTGCCATATTTTCCTTTGTTTTCATCCAAATACTTGACAATTTTAGTTACATTTTCAGATTGTTTCATTATTCTCATTTCAAAAGTTCTTAAAGATCTCAAAAGCAGATAACTTTCAAGGTTGGCAATATTAGTGCCCAAATTAATTCTATCTTCTTTTAATAATTCTTGACGTTTTTTATCCTTAACGACAAGAACACCACCCAGCAAATCAGAATGACCGCCAAAATATTTTGTTGCTGAATGCATAACGATATCAGCACCAAAATCCCAAACATTTTGCAAAGGTGGTGGAGCGAAAGTGCCATCTACAAGTAATAAAGCACCTTTCGCATGAGCTCTCTTAGCAAAGGCCTCGATATCATAAGAGGTACCAAATGGGTTAACAGGAGATTCTAAGTGAACAATATCACCTTTTTCAGCATATTGTTCAATCTCGTCTAAAGTATATTTCTTCACCATACCATTTCTTTGAAACATTTCAGCGATAGCAATACAACCATGATAGTTTTGAGACATGAAGATTCTCTTTGGATTGAAACTCATAATTGCAGCAAAATAAGCAGATAAGCCAGAAGAGTAAATTACTGCATGACCACCAAGATATTCTGAGAATAAGGTTTCTAACCTTGTACCATTTGGATGACCTTCCCGTGAATAAACAGGTCTTTCATCTAAGAAGCTCATATCTTCTCTTTCAATAATTGGGATCAAGTCTTGTTCTTCATATCTGAAGGTAGTTGTGACGTTGATTGGAGGAGCTACGTCAGTAACTCTGTTGTTTTTATCATCAGCATGGATAAGTAAAGTTGATAATTCGACCATTTCTAAGTAAGCGAAGTGTATTGTCTTTCTGTCTTGATTTATATTTATTATAAATGATATTAATAAATTATATATATTAAAAGATTGTTGTTGGAAAGAAATATGTTTTGTTAAAACAATAAATGTGTATCCTTATATATGTTTCGGAAAGACAGGTTTTGATAATGTTAAAGTTTATTTAAATTCGGCATTAAGCAAAAGAGTTAGTGCTAGGGTATCTATTAGTTAGTTATGAATTGCATAAATGTCCAACAAAATTTTTATTGTTGTACATATTGGATTGTGCTTTCCAGAATATTCATTAAACTAGAATTGCTCATTAGTGAGCGGTTCCTTAAATCAAAGAATAGTTAATGACTTAAAATTTCACTTTTTAAACATTTCCGATTCCATATTAAGAAATGATGAGCGAGGTGATTAATTTTCGACATTTTAGGAAGTTTGTAGAGATAAGAATATCGCATGAGTAAGAAGAAAAGAATAAATGATATACAGCTAGTGAAAAAAAATGGGAAAGAGAGAGAGAGCAGAGGCATTACTATGTAATGTTTTTAAAAATCACTGTGTATGGTTATGTTTACATTGAAAGAAAGAGTAACTACATAAACTATTTCAAAGTTGTTAGTGGAAATGTATCTTGGAACATTATCTCTATAATATTGCCTATTTTGTAAAGTGGTTCCGAAGTTTAATTACTAATCCGTTGGAATCTTCCTAAGCTTTGATGTGAATATTCGGTGATGGATGGATGAGATCTAAAACATGCAGGAGATGTCATACCCGCTAATGAATAATAATACACAGATCTTGATCTTGAGCTTGATATTTGGACACGAATTGCTTGAATCAAAACATCAAATGGGATGTTTATGTTTACATACTTGATTCATCAGATAAGAAGATGAATATAAACAATAACAAGACGCCGTTTTATTATGCAGTTGGTTCCAAGATGAAAGAAAGAGATAGATGTAGCAAGAATGTAATATTTAACAAAAAGTATAAACAAACATCGAAATAAGCTGCACATGAACAAACGGTACAATGTCTTTAACTGGAGGGAATAGATGTGTCTTCTTTTGTAAGGATGTAGTTTGACTAACTTAAATTAAAAGTAAAATTGAGCAAAGATCACGTGAATTTTGATGTTCTTCTTTTAAATAGCTAATCCTAATCATAACATATGACTGTCAGAAATGCACTGAGTATGCGCTACTTAGCAATGAAACTAGGACAGAAACAAAAAGAAACGTCAAAACCATCAATGGATCAAATGGCTTCATTGCAGTTCAGTCAAATGACGTTATCATTCATATTGTTCATGTTATGTAAATAGAACACACTCATGTAGAAAATTGTATAGAAGCTTCGAATAACAATACGCCTTGTCTATACATTACACATATACATATATTAATACGATAAAGAAAAATTGTATATTTCGACTTTGTCAATGCCTTGTATATATCCGATATATGTTTATATGTTTACATTCACATATACAGAAACACATATTCTCTCTGACACTACTTGCTAACTTTTTAATCTATCCTGTCCTGTCCTGTCCTTCTATCACAACCGTCGTTATCATTACTACCTTGTCTCTTTATACTGTATACACCACGTGACAACAATCACATGACTGTAATCACGTGTGTTCCTTTTCCAACCCTCCCGCTTCCGTCTCCCGTTCCTCTCCCACCCCCCCATTCTCGCTACTGAGAACCCTTTAATATCAAAGGAATTTTATGTTAAAGATATCTTTTGAAAGTTAAGTTATATTAAGAATTCAAACTTAATAGTAATGAACACGTACAACATAATTTTAAATGTATTAAACTGATGTTAGACAAAAAGTGAGTCGTTTTTTTGTTCTTGGATATTATTTTAAGTTCAACTACACTGTACTGGTTCCATATTTTGGTTTTAAGTTAGCTAATTGTGGTGAGAAGGCCTCTCTCTATTGGAACTTGAAAAATAATGATAAATTATAATTCAAAGGATATAAGTCCAAAAAAAGCTGGTCTTGCTACATTTATTGTAGCTTTATTTATTTTGTTTCAGATTGTGGCACAACGTTGGTCAAACAAAAGATTAGAAAATGAGTTGAACTCATCTAATTATTTCGGTTTCACAGATAGAAATTCAGATATTTCAAAAGTGTTCAACTTAGATGCAAGTTTATCTGTACCATTCCTAGATAAGATTAATAAATTTTGGCATGTTCGTGGTGAAACTCAAATTCGTAATAGTGAATTTATTAGATTGACTAAAGCTGGCAGCCACAATACCCATGGTGTTGTTCTATCAAATGGTATTGGTGATAATACAATTAACGATTTTGAAATCCTTGTGAAATTTAGGTTATCAAGAAGGGAAGCTTCAGACATTAATAACAAGAAAAATTCAAAATCAAATGATATGGGTGAAGGTATGGTCTTTGTAGTTACTCCAGAAAATGATTTCATTACAAAAGATTTCACTTCAGATGCTGCTAAAGAAGAATATATGAGAACTTCAGGTGGCGTTATTGGCCATGATATGACCTTGATGGGGTTCCCTAGAAACTTGCCAGGTTTAGCATTGGTTATAGATACATATCAAAATAGTAAAAGACCAACTTCAGGTGCCAAAATTCCTTTTATGGATGCAATGTTGAACGTTGATCCAGCTAAGGATTTCTACGATCGTGACAGTGATGGTGATGCTAGTACATCCACTTCTTTAAAATTAAATGACCATCATATTCAATTGAATGATTCAATTATGGATGGGGATATTACAACAATGCGTATCATTTATTTAGAGAGTATTAGTTTCTTGAAAGTTGATATCAAGTATAAATCAGAAGGTGATTATTGGATTGAACTTTTCCATGCCACTGAAGATGTCTTCATTCCAAAGAATGCAAAGACTGGCCAAAGATTTATTGGTATCGGTGCTGTTAATGGTATCGCTACTGAAAATGTAGATATTTTGGATGTTCAAACTAATGAATTCCACTGGGATGATCATGATGAATCAAGCGAAGAATCATATGACTACGTTAAAGAAGTTCAAAAGTATCTATCTCAAGAGTATGGTCAAATGATCTCAATGGAAATGGATGAATACAAGAGATGGAAAATGATTAAAGCACAACCAAATTACCAAACAACCAGAGCAGTTGTATCTGGCGGATTTTCCTTTGTATCATTGATATTAAGAACCATTGTTTTCTTCATATTATTGGGTATTGCATATCTAGCATCAATGTTTATTAAAATTGGACCAAGTAAAGACTTGATTAATGATAGACGTTTCCAAAAAAGAGCAGGTGTGTTACCACCATAGATAATTATCTCATTTGTTATATCTTCCTGATATTTTAGATATGTAATGTTTGATTAAGTAAAAGTATAATTTTTTTGTAAGATAGAAAATGTAAAAGGACTTTAATGGAATTAAGCAAACAGCAAAAATAAATCATTATAACTTTCCTCATTACGTTCAGAGTAGGAAACTCTAATTTTAGAAAATTTAATAAAATTATATGTATATATTTAATATTACCCTATTTATAATTGTAAATTGTATATCACATAAATATATTATATACTTAAATAAAAAAACCCATATAACAAAAAAGAACCAAACCCAATTATTATTAAATATTTAAATAAACATTTGACATCGAATAAAATTAAACAATTATGATTTTAAAGTAATGATGGAATTCACAGTTCTACCACTATTGTTTCTTTGCAAATGATTATGTCTTATACTACCTGGTCTTGAAACAGGTTGTGGACCAGAATGATGATTTGAAGCATTTGAAGTTCCAGATATGCTTCCAGTATTAGCATTACCTGGAGTTGCCAGTGATGACCTTCTCGTTCTATCTAATATACTTGCTGGTGGTATAGCCATTGTACTTGAATTGGTTTCTAACGTTCTAGAAGAAAAAACAGTGGCTCTTGTTGATTGTATTGAATTAACGTCAGAGAATGTGGACGAATTCACAGATGAAGAACAAACTGATACTAGAGGTTGCATACTTGCATTGTCTGTACTAGACCCATTGTAATCCAAGTCTATTTTGACCTTTTTAGGTTTTTCATCCCATGACAATTTAGCTGGTGGATTTATAGATGTATTTTCATCTGCAGTTGTAGTTATATTTGTGTTTGCAGTTTCATTTGCATTTACACTTGTATCTGTAATTTTAGGTGCATTTGTAATTGTATCTGTAGTAGTTCTGGTTGTATTCTTTTCTATGGTACTTGCACTATTTGAATTCGAAGTGAACATTGGTCTTAATGAAGAACTAATAGTCTTTGAATCGGGGTCATTAGAAATTGAATCCATTATATCAATAGAATGTCTATAATTTGTATCTTTCTTACTAGATCTTTGATAATTTACCTTTTCAGTAGGTGATGATGATTTCAATACAGTTGTAGTTCTTGACTGCAATGGAACATTGTTATTATCCTTTGCAGGCTGCATAATTTTCCTTACCCATACTGATAATTTACTCTTCTTACCTAATAATAATGATATGGTATAATATAATATAAAATAACATAGTTAGTAACTATAATCATTGAATTGAATTGGGGAAAAATGTACTTAAAGTTGAGCTATCGACGAAATGTAATAAAACATACCTTGATTTTGTAATGATGAATTATTATTTGACATTGGTAATATTATATCTATATATATATATTCTGTCAAAGAGTGGAATGAGTTGTTTAATGTAATGTGAGGTAAAAGTTCCTTGTGTAATTGACAAGCAAGCTTTTATACTCTATGGAAAAAGTGTTCTATAAACATTTATTTCTATAAATGGGTTTTTGTTAAGTCTACATTCTGTATATGCAAGATGATTTAGAAATATAATACGAACAATCAATCATCGCTATTTCATAAAAATTTCTAATCCAAGTGACTTGATGTAAGACTAGTTAAAGGGTTGATGTAACATAAAGGTACATTAAGTGAATTAGTTTATATAATAAGATATGCAACATTAAACTATAAGATCACTAAATATTTGTTGATATCATATAGAATAGTAAGGTCTGTACACGTATGTATATATATTAAGTATATAAAATAGGAATTAAAGTAAAGAGGAAAAAAAAATATAATAATGAAGGTGATAATGATAACGAATGAGTTATAGTATAGTTTTCATTATAAGCATGTATAGGAATATGCTTTTTACTATTTAAGTCAGAATATGGTACAGAAAATTTATTAAGACTCAAATGTATTATTAAATGGTAATTAAAATCAAATTAGAGGTAGCAAAACATGATGACAGTGGATACATTAGATGAAATGGATGGTTAAAAATGTATGTTGTTGGTTATTATGTGTGGTATTAATCGATAGCAAAGACGTGCTTCATTTTGGAATATATTGATTCATTTCGATTCGAAATTATTATAATTTTGGAATGGTGGTTAATGAGTATGACAGGATGAGGGAGTATTAAAAATTAAATTACATTAAAATTAATAATTGAATCTTGTTTGAGCAGTCGTATTAAATAAAAAGTGAATGATGGTGATAAAAATAAGTTGAAAAAAAAAATCAATGGTAATTTACAACAAATAGTTGAAATTAATGAAAACAATAAAAAAGAAGAATCATTCTTGTTCTTGTTCTTGTTCTTGTTTAAAAGGTAGATAAAAAATTGACAATGTCCAATTGTAGACAGGATACTCCTATTAGGTAAAACAAAAAATCATGCATGGTAGTAACATGTATGGTCAAGCTAAAATGGATCAATTTTGCTTGTTTTCTTGTTTTTCAGCTTTTGTATCTTGAGTAGCTTGTTTTAATTTTTCCAAAGTTAAGTTACCAATATCTCTACCAGTAGCGACCATTGCACGAGTGACACTATCAGTTTTGTTCAAATTATTTTCATAAGTAGTTGAGACAGTTTGATAAGTTTCGATAGCAGAGTTGTAAGTAGGTTTGACTAGATGGTCTATTTTCCCAATTTGAGCGTTAATTTTTTCTCTAGTTGGGTCCAATATTTCGGATTGCAATTTATCAGCAGTTGGTTTGACCAAAGTTTCGTATTTTTGAATAGCGATGTCCTTTGTTGGGTTGATGTAATCACTTTGAACCTTTGATTGGATATCCTTTGAGATGTTTTTAGTTAGGATTGACAATTCGTTTACATGAGGCAAGTTGACGTTATCTGTAATATTTGAAGGGTTTTCTACCAGGGTGTTGTTCAACTTGAATGGTTTTACGATGAATTCTTTTAATAGGATATTTGTGACGTTAGCCAAGTAGTCGATGTAGAATAAAGCCAACCAGATACCAGGACGGTTTGAATGGTTATTCCATTCGCTTATGATTGCTTCCAAACCGATTTGCAAAAACAACAAGCTGAAGAGTTCATCAATTTTGTAGAGACCTGATTTGAACCAGTTGTAGGAGTTTTTGATTAGAAGAGGGGTGGATTGAGAATTGATCAAATAAGAGTCTAATTTTCTTGCGTTTGATACGGTAGAGTCGAATATGGTGTTGAACAATTTGTAATTTTTCAAATGGTTTAAATTTTTTTGAACAATTGGATATTTTTGTAGTTGAGATAGAGTAGGTGAGTGGAAAGTGTCCAATTGAGTTTCTTGATGGTTGTTGTTGTTGTTGTTGTCATCGACTTGGATAGGGACGTCTACGGTATTTTGGATAGGGACGTCTACTGTATTTTCGATAGCGTCAGTAGTATCCTGATTTGGATCAGTAGCGATTGTGGATTTAATTTGTTGTTGTTTCTTTGATTTTGACATTTATAAGTGTGGTGGTGGGTTGGTAGGATGGATGATAATACTTGTGATTTTGTTTGTTTTGGGCTTAAAAAATGGGAAAAAAAAAATAAAACTTCTTTACTGTTGAGTAGTGGCTAGTGTAGTAGTATTTATATGTATATGTATATGTATATATAAATAGTTTGAATTTATATATAATTGATATTGTTTTTATATGCGCGATGGAGTCAGTGGTGCGAGAGAGAGAAGGGGAAAAAGACGAGAGATATAATGATAATGAGTGTGAGTTGTAAAACAAGAAAAGAATTGAAACTATGAATTGGGGAGGATGATGGAGAGGTATATATATATGTCAGAAAACGAGAAAGAAAGCAAATGATATGAGATTAAATTAAATTAAATTAAATTAAATTAAATTAAATTAAATTAGATTAGTTTAAACAAAACAAACAAAACAAACAAATAAAAAAAAACCACACACACACATAATTAAGTGAAATTGGGCTTGATAGTTAGATTAGAAGTTGCAATTTGCAATTTACCTTGGGATAAAATGAGATGAAATGGAAAGAATCAATTAGTTGGAAAGGGGATAATAACAGTTGAACAGTACAGTGAGAATGTGAAAAATAAAGAGACAAGCAGATTATGATGAGATGAGCCAACAAAAGGAGAAGTCAACGAGCAATTCAAGTGGCATCCAACTGAGTTTGAATCACTTGAACGTTGAGATCGGTTCAGTTGAGTTGAGATTAGTTCAATTCAGTTGAGCTCAGTTGAGTTCAGTTCAGTCTTGTCGAGTTGGATTGAATTGAGTCGAGTTCAATTCCAGTCCAGGTGAGCTATGCTAAGCTGAGCTATGCTAAGCTGGACTCATTCCATTCCATTCCATCTCAGCTTAGCTGCGTTGTGTGGGACAGGAAGTGTCGATGGGATGGGAAACCGTTAAGGGGAAGCCCGCAGGGTGACGGCGGTGGTGGTGGTTTATTTTTGATTTTCCTGTTTGACGAAAGCACAGAGAGAGATACACAGAGAGAGAGAGTGTGTGTGTGATAAAATTGGATTTACAAAGGAGAGAGTGTGTTCAGAAGGAGGTTTTGTTGTATTGCTAAATCCATTTCCCTTTCCCTTTCCCGTTCTACTTCATAGCAACAAGCAGATGAGTAGATTAACACCATCACCATCACCATCACCATCACCTGAACAAACCATGGCAGAGCACTGCACAGTGATGGCCCTGTTTCCCACTCTGGTTCAATTTCACAAGGTCAGTGGATACCTTGAATGTGAGTGACTTTGTTGCTTACAGCCGATAAGCGACGCTTTCTGCCCTTTGTCCAATCCCCTCACCCATCTCCCTGCGGGTGGCTGTCGGAACATCTCACCGGTGAGGGAAATTTCAACCCAACCCAAACGTACCCTACCGCTGTTCTTTCTCGGGCAGCTCAAATAAATGTAATGCAATACAATATAATGTAACACAATATAACACAATACAGTATAATATAAATAGATATCTATTTATATTATAATTACGCGTGTGTGTCTCTTACCCCATCAATCTCCGTCTCATTCATCCCCAAATCAACGTGGTGCAAAGATGCTCCCATGGACAGCAATATTGATATTCTATAACAACTCTTGACAATTTTCAGAGTGTCTGTGACAATTCATCAAAATTGTGGGAAATCGGAAAATATGAAAATGGGAAATGGCAAAATATGATTTCGGTCACATGCTCTAATTCATCCTCCCAACAACAACACCACCCCCCCCCCTCTCTCTCTCTCTTGAACTAAAAACTAAGAACTAAAAACTACAGCAAATATACGGTTTCGAACTCAACTAAAACTCATTGACTATATTGACTCTAATTGTGTTATGTTGTGATGTGGTCCCACCGCGTATTGTCGTTGACGCACTCACACTTACATTCACATATTTCAATGATTAGTTGAACCTCGTATTCCTGATCCTGCGCTATCCACCACCGTTAACGATAGAACGATCTAATATATTATAATAGATATATAAAATTATATATATATGTGTGTGTGTGTATATGTGTATACGAAAAATAAAAGTGTATAAATAAAACTGTTACTTTGTTTTGTTTAGTTCGGCTTGGCTCGATTCGATTCGACTCGATTTGTTCTTATTTCTTGGAATAAAAATTGTACAATTGGATAAATAAAACAAGTTTAGCCCTTTTATGATTGTTTACATTCTGGCGCTTCTTCCTTCTTACCAGCAAAATCATCGTCTTCTTCTTCCTCTCCCTCTTCCTCTTCATCTTCATCGTAATCCTCTTCATCTTCAAATTCTTCTTCTTCTCCATTATCGTATTCAAATTCTAATGCTGATCCGGTAAACCAATCAACCGCTCTAGGAATTAATTTATCTTTGATCTGTTCACCAATAGAGTAATCCAATGCTAGCCTTTGTTCCAAATCTTCATATTCTTCTTCTTCCTCTTCTTCTCCACCTTCACATTCTGCACTGTGTTGATGGGTTTCATCAATCTTTGGAGGGTCAAAAAAATTGAAAAAGGATTCAATAGGTGTGATCTTCTCAATTGTACGTACTTGCTTGGTAGACTTATTTCTTTGCTTTCTCATCTCAACCGACACAGTGACATTGGATTCATTATCAACCCATTTGATTTCATTACCTTCCGCATGGTCGTAAATGAAATCTCCGGAATATCCTAACTCGCTTTGATAGTAATATGTCTTGACCAACTCTTTGTTAGTGAAAAATGGATTCTCTTTATCATCAAATTCAAAAATTAATTTGAATCCAGGTTTACCGCTAGTACAATATTCTAATTTGACGTCAGTTAAATATTCCAATACTTCAGCATCACGGTCAGTTATAGTATCCGATACAACTGGTAAGTTCTCTAATGCAGTTAACCAAAATGATGGAACACCTTCGTATTCACCTTCGTCTTCTTCTTCTTCTTCTTCAGCTTCTTCTTCTTCATCCTCTGCTTCTTCATCCTCACCCCTTTCTAGATCTTCTAATTCTTTACCCTTGTTGATTTCTTCTTCTGTTGGTTCGATTTCACCTACAATCAATTGTTTACGATGTAAATGAACAGGAGCATACTTAGTTAGGTATTTCTGTTCCAATTCGAACATTTCGACCTGGAAGTCTTTTTCAATTTGGAACAAATCGGTCTGTAATGATTTTAATGCATATATTCTATTCTTTACAACCTTTGGCAAGTTTTCTACGTATCCACTATCTTGACCAATTAAAGATCCTAATTTTTCTTGAATAGATTGTAATAATAATGGCTGGTTAGATAAAACAGTCTTGATATCTTCTTCGTTGATAGTTTGAGGCTTAGAATCGTTACTTGAATCATCATTTGAATCAGCATTTGAATTGTTGGATTTATTGCCCTTCATCGGATTACCATTTTTAAAAAATTCCATATTACCTGCAGGGGTATTATGTGGAGTAGGAGCATTTTCTATCTTCATTGAAGATTTTGGCTTATTAACTTTAATAGGATCAGTCATAGTGTAATTTGATCTATTTTGATTTGAGTTTCAATAAAAATTTCTTGTTCTGATACCTCAGTTATTCTTTACGATATAACAACTTCTCTATAGCTAATCTGCTCGATTAATAAAATTTGATATTAGTGAATGACGTAATACCAAATACAATATCAAAAGTGTTACCTAGGATAGGATAATCAAACTTATAAAATTTCAATAGGAATCAAAGAAAAAAATAAGAAGAATAATGAAAAATGTCTTCGATATATATTAATCTAAAAACTTCTGGATATCTTATTTCAAAGGAAAAGATTGAAATTCTGTTTTCCAACTTGTATGAATAGAAAAAAAAAATCAAACGAACAAATTTAAAACGAGTATACTATTATGTATAAATTAATAGCAATATAGCACAATGTAATATGATATATAGATATATATATATATATTTCACCTTTCCACTTTAAAATATCAACACAGTTTAATGTAGTTTTAATTAAGTTCGAGTTAGTCTAGTTTAACTATCTTTAATATAAAACTGAAAAAAATCAAAAAATCCACTTCGTGTTAAACAGTTAATTTTTTTTTCCTTTCTTTCTTCTTCCTCTCGTCTGATTTAACTTCTGATTATTATAGACTATTCTCTTGTCTAGTCCTCTCTTGTCTAGTCTTGTCCTGTCTGGTCTTGCTTGTCTTTTCTTGTCTTTTCTTGTCTTGCCTTGTAATTTTTCAGTTGAAATAAAATTTTCCACTTTTTTTTTTCCTCTTCTACAGAGAGAGAATAACAGAGAGAGAGAGAAAGAGAGAGACCGTTAAAATATTAACAGCCATAGTGAAAGCTGAGCATATGTGATGATAGAATTCTATAGTAGTGTTAAAGTAGAAGTAGAAGTAGAGTAACTTATATCATATCACAATTAGTCGATGTCTCTTACAGTTTAGGTTAAATTGTGTGGGAGAGGAAAAAAAGTAATGCAATCGAATTTAATTAATAACCTATATTTGTTATTACAATTGCAATTGCAATTCGAAGTCTCAAGTGTTCCTGTTAATTAGGAATTAGTGATGTACTGAATAGGTCTAATTTATCTATTTACGTTATTCTACTTTAATCTCTCTGCATATTAATCTTATTTTCTATATTAAGTGGAAAAAAAAATGTTAAATACCTTGACGGTTATTTAAATTTAAATAGTTGTTTTGTATAGTTTTAATCGTGTCATCGGGTATGTCCCATTGACAGTTATGTTAGTATTGCTGGGTAGGTCTCTATCTGTTTTGTCCCAAAAGGCATCTCTTTCTTGTCCCATAATTAGATTTTGAGATGGGATGAGATGAGATGAGATGGGATGAGATGGGATGAGATGAGATGAGATGAGATGAGATGAGATAAAATGAGATGAGATGAGATGAGATGAGATAAAATGACATAAGATCATTCTATTTAAATCGAAATGTTATTTATTATAATAATGTACATATGGGTTTGATTTATTTATTTGTTTGTATGTTTATTGGTATTCCGTCTTATTACCATCTTTTATTAAAAAGTTGGACCACCTAGGGTAGTACCTTGACCTGTTTTTAATGTTAAACCTTGAGATGAAGTATCTTCAATAACATTCCAAAGAGCATCTTTCATCTTGGTCAATGGTGTCTTTTCTTTGCCATTACCTTTAGTCTTGTTAGATTCAACGTTCATATCAATATCTTCCTTGGCTTGAACATCAACTAACAACTTTCTTTGTTGTGCATATTTCAAGTTTCTTTCAATCTTTTTAGCTCTTTTTTTAGACAATGTCTTGGTTGTAATGCTGCTATTGTTATTGCTTTCTTTACCGTTAAAGTATAAATCTAATGGAACACTCTTGATTTCACCAGATTTAGATGCTTCACTGGATCTTTCAGGTTGTAATAACCCCTTTCTTTCACGATCAGCTCTTTTTTGACCCAATCTTTGAGATTTCTTATTTAAATTGACCGTTAATTTAGGTCTATTGATAGAATTTTTGGAAGGCATCGGTAGGAAATTTTGTTTATCGATACGACTGGGGATATTAAATACTGTAAAATACTATCTACTGAAGGACCCACTACGCAACAATATCATTCCCTGACTTGTAATTTTACTTGTTCATATATCAATTATAAATGTATAACTAGATAAACCTTTGGTTAGATGAGATGCGATGAGCTCTAAATCTTTCATGTTGACAAAATTTTCCAATACAATATCGTTGATAATGATCTAATATGACAGGCTTTTGACATTTTAAAGGCTGTGACTTTTATTGTAAGTAATAAACGAACCAAGAAGTGTGGTATATAAGGAAAAGATTATTCAGTAAACAATTGATCTTACATGATACTCCAGGGATAGATAAACAAATTGCATTATTAACACAATAGCAATACTTGTATACATGTCCTGTTATCTTTTTTCATCACATGGGTATTTATCTACCTTTAACTAACTGACCGTCAACAGTAGCAAAACTAAGCGAAACGGAGAATAAAATGAATATTGTGGTTACCCTTATTTAAACACGTGATGTTAACCGGGTAATGTACAAAATTTCAAATAATCTATGCAAATGTAAGGAAACTGCCAACATGGCTGAAATGAATGAATTAATGTTATGACCGTCTTTTAAAACAAATCATAGAAATAAGCTTAAAGATTATAATTTTTGAGGGTTAATCGACTATGGTGATATTGGATCTCAGTTCAGATTTTGTTCTAGATTTCAATTGTATATCATTGACTTATTTGAGTTTTTTGTGATAGAAATTAAATTAGATATATCAGTATCAATTGAATTTTTTTTAGTTAATTAATCCCTTGACGTTATTATATAAATAGAAACCTTCAAATTTTATAATTATGGCAGCTAAACCAAATACTGATGCTGATGAAGTCTTTGAATTCTTAGATTCTTTGCCAGAAGCAAAGAAAAATGATCAAAATGATCAATCAAAGGATAATGGTAAAAAAGATGAAGATATTCTGGACTTTTTAGATGAATTGGAAAAAAGTAATTTAGAACTAAATAAGAATAAAACAAATAGTGGTGATAGTGCTAATAATAATAAAAACAAGAAGAAAGCATCAAATAATACAAAACAAGAATCAAAACCACAATCAGTTGGCAAAGAAGAAACTAAAAAGGCACCAATTAAAAATAATGAGCAAAAACCTGTAAAGGAAGAAATTAAGGAGGTACCTTTAGATGAAGTTACAAACAAAGAAGAATCTATTAATGAAAATCAAGAACAAGATTCAGTTCCTAAGGAAGGTACCCCATTAAATGATCCTATTACCTCTTTTTCAAATTGGTGGTCCTCTTCAGGGTCTGCTGCAGTAACTAATATTTGGAATAAAACTCAAAAACAAGCTTCAGAATTACAAAAGAAAATTGTAGATGAACAATCACAAATTCCAATAAAAGAATTGACCTCTTTAACTTCCAAATTAAAGACATCTACAATCACAGATTTAGCAAATAGATTGCAAGAAATTGTTGTGGGTGAAACTGAAGAAGTTTTAAGAATTCATTTAGTGCATGATTTAGTCAATTATCCACTGTTGCAATACCATGTCGAACAGAAATTCCATGATGTTTTAAGTTCACAAGTTCAAGGTGGTATCAGAATCTTTGTAGATGAATGGACTAATCCAAATGAAAGAGAGTTATATGAAAAAGAAGTCGAGCCAACTTCAAAAGAATCTAAAAAAAGACAATTGAATATGTTCAATGGCAAGGTCGTTGAAGGTGAAAAATTGGCATTCGCAAACTTAGATAATGCTATTAAATTATTTCATAAATCCCGTGAAAACATCATAAAACAGCAAAAGGAAGCTAAACTAGCAGAAACAGATCAAGATCAAGAGTCAAAACAATCTGATACAGAAGCTGGGGATGAGGAAGATAATATTAGTGATATCTTCATTTCTATCTTGCCTGTTTCCGTACCAGGAACTAATAAGGATGACCCAATTAAAACTACCGATGGTAACGCACCAGGTAACTTCAGCTTTATTATCGTTTTGAAGGATATCACTAATGATATCACTTCTATTACTAGATCTCAAGGTTACCCATCAAAGTGGGCTGGCTGGTTAGAAGGTAGTTATGAGTTGACCTCAAAAGATGACGCAATTTCTCAAGCCAAGGAGAAAGATGAAAAGAAAAAACAAAGTAGTTCCAATGAAGAAGATGAAGAAGATGAAGAAGACGAATCAAACAATATAGATCCTAGCGAATGGGTTAAAGAATGGATCGAAGATGGTTTGAGTTTGACTTTTGGTATTGCTGCTCAAAACTATGTTATCGAAAGAATGGGATTCTAAAGCCATCTTTCAAATTTTAATATCAACCACTTGTCTCCATAATATAAGTAATTTAAATTTCATTCATATACTTAATTGCACATATTAACCTCACTTGTGATATATATACATATATATATATATATATATATATATGTCTGTGTATGTGCCAATTATGCTTTTAGACGCATTTGTGTGTCGTCATTCTCTAGTCCATATTGCCAAAGAGTATATCATTATATCATTTAAGTAAAGAAGTGATTCCATCAGATTTTCCCATTACTACATATTTATTTGGCAAACTTAACATTGGCCATTAATAAAATAAAATTAAGTCTGGTTGTCGTCACACTTGTTACTCTTAATAATCTATTGACTACAAAATCAATCACGTGATAAATGTTAAAAGGAAATACTACTTATTCCGGGTAATCAAGTTTTGTCTTCCTAAATTTCAAAATTTGACAGGAATTTTGTTAATTTTGAAAAATTATCGAAATATCAAACGTTGAGACCTATAATCCAATGTGATAAGTTCGTAAATATTACCTGTATATATGGTATATATTGATAAATGAAGGTAAACCTTGAATTATAATTAATTGTATGTATATCAATTAAGGGGCATATCATTTTTAGAATTATCTGTAAAGGAATTAGTCGGTGTACGCTCATTAGGAATGTCAAGTGATACTACAACAGACAGCAGTTTGTCTGGTTCATCTGGAGTAATTGAAAAAAAGGTTGGACATCATAATCAGTCTAAAAAAATTTCAGAAGGTGAAGCTGATTTATATTTAGACCAGTATAACTTTACCACAACGGCAGCAATTGTTGGTTCTGTGGATCGTAAAATATTTGTACTTCTACGTGATGGTAGAATGCTATTTGGTGTATTAAGAACATTTGATCAATATGCAAATTTAATATTACAACATTGTGTAGAGAGAATATATTTTACTGAAGAAAATAAGTATGCAGAAGAAGAACGCGGTGTGTTCATGGTTCGTGGTGAGAATGTAGTCATGTTAGGTGAAGTAGATATAGATAAAGAGGATAAACCTTTAGAAACGATGGAACGTATACCTTTTAAAGAAGCTGCAAAAACTAGATATAATAACAATGAGGCAAAATTCAAGGCAGAAACACGCAGGGGCAAGGAATTGGCCGCATATGGTTTGGTTTATGATTTCCATAAATCAGACATGTATTAATAGTATATAAAAGAAAGTAATAATAATATATCAATTTGTTAGTAAATTAACTACTTCTCTTGCTTAACTATGCTATTAAGCTCTGTTCCTATATTGAAAGCCTAAAATAGCTGTTATTTGGTCATTGTATACGAATTATGGATTTTGCTAATTTTCTTTTAATTCGTCTTTAGTATATTGAAAAAGTTTGATCATGTTTAAATTAGACCTCATCTCATCTCATCTCATCTCATCTCATCGGTTAAGTTTAAATTAACAGTTCGTTTAGATAATATTTGACTGTGAATTGGTTTCAAATTATTAGTTTGTATATCAACCAAGAGGTAGCTAAGATCTTGTGGCAATACTATAGAAAAAAAAATGACCTGCTTTACCGAATACAAAGATCTAATACAAGAAGGTGACCTAACTCTAATATGGATTTCAAGAAATAACATTAGAGCTGTTGTTATGAAGGCTGGTGAAAACTTCAATACTAGATATGGTTCATTTCCACATAATGATATGATTGGGAAACCTTACGGTTCTCAAATTGCCATTAGAACTAAAGGTTCAAATAAGTTTGCGTTTATTCATGTCCTACAACCTACGCCTGAATTATGGACTTTATCTTTACCACATAGAACTCAAATTGTTTATACTCCAGATTCTTCGTATATTATTGAAAGAATGAATTGTGGTCCTAATGCAAGGGTGATTGAAGCAGGTACTGGTTCTGGTTCATTCTCTCATGCATTTGCAAGATCAGCTCAAAAATTATTTACTTATGAATTCCATCAAGTTAGATATGAGCAAGCATTGGAAGAATTTAAAGATCATGGTATATTAGGCGATGCTTCTAAATATGGTGAAAATGTTACTATTACTCATAGAGATGTCTGTGAAAATGGATTTAGAATTAAACAAAATGATACTACTTCATTTGAGTTTGGTGAAGATGAGGAAATTGAAGCTAAGATAAATGCCAATGTCATTTTCTTAGATCTTCCGGCTCCATGGGATGCTATTCCTAATTTAAATGATGTCATAGCAAGTGATGAAAAGGTTGGACTATGTTGTTTCTCCCCATGCATTGAACAAGTTGATAAAACCCTTGAAGCCTTGGAAAAGTATGGTTGGACTGATGTTGAAATGGTAGAAGTCCAAGGGAAACAATACGAAAGTCGTAGACAAATGGTTAGAACTTTGGATGATGCTCTAAACAGATTAAAAGATATTAAATCACATAAATTGGAAGGTGTTGAGAGACGTAAAAGACTTTTGAATGAAACTATAAACGAGTCATGTGGAATTGATGATGGGTCTGTAGATGATAAAAGACCTAGCACTGGTAAGACAAAGTTCAATCCTTTTGGGAAGGGATTCAGAGTTAAAGAAGGTGATAAAGAATTTAAGTGGAAAGATGTGACAAAAGTTGAGTCAGAGATTAAATCACATACATCTTATTTGACATTTGCATCAAAAATTGTAAAAAAAGATAGATTGGCCTGAATTAAGAGGTCGATTTTTACTTAATCGAAAACTGTATCAAAAAAATAAAATTAAGCATTAATAGAATATATTGTTAAGGATAAATAGGCGCGATAATCCCTAACGTTATAAATCAAAACATAGTTTTGATATTTTGATTGCCTTTAGTAAGTAGTGTTCTAGCATATCTGTTTATTATATCGGTAATCAGATCTCCATTTTTGGACACAACTCTGTTGTCATCTTAAAGTTTTAATCGAATTCAAATTTTTTTAAGAACTTAATCAACTTATTTCATATTTGAGTTATGATGTTTTGTACTAAATTACGTAATTCTTTCCAGATAAAAGGTGATCAGTAATTGTGAGATATAATACAGGGATTTGACATTTAATAGAGTGTATAACAAGCTTCTTAATTACAATTTAGTATATATAATTGTTAATTGAATGAAAGAGTTGTGTTTCTAAATCATCAATAATAAAAAATCATATATTACAAGTGATCAAATGAATTGATTAATAGATTAATTAATTAGCCAATTTCAATAAAATTACAATTCCTAATTTATTTGTTCATTTCTCAATATGGACAATATTAACTAACAAAGTCATATATACAAAAATTCGAATGTATTTTGTAATGTACTTAATGAAATGATAATGGTTTCGCAATAGAAATATTTTACCAAGATATAATTGAAGCTATTTCACAAGCATCCGAGTTCCTATAGAGATCCATCACGCAAGTGTAGCTACGTTAATCCCAAATAATAATTAAACTTTTTTAGAACAAACAATATCGTACTTCATCCAATTTTCCTTCTAAAATAGGAAGCAATTAATTAAACTGCATTTTTTTATGACGTAATTCTATCTGAACATAGAAATAGATTCTAATTTAAGTAGCAAATTTCATAAATTCCTAATTTCATTTAAATTCGATTGACATTTCATTGGTTACTAAGATAATAATGCTTAGTTCGATCAGAACAAATTGCGTATTTTCAGTTTAAAGATCTTTAAAATTGTATTAATTGTGCTGGTTCGTCCTAGTGGTACCTTTAGTTCTTGAAATTTTATAATAAAACCTGTTTTAGTTAACCTATTTAGATTGATATTTCTACGGCTGCGTTTTCATCATTAAAATCTAAATCTTGCAAAGAGATATCGTACTAGAATGTATACAGTTGTTAATAGCTAAAGGCTAATAATGGATCCTTTTTATAGTGTTGTTTTAGTTACCAGTAGTACTAGTATCAATAGTTCGATCAATTCACATTACAAAACCAATTGTATTCAAAGCTAGGTATTTATTTGCTGCATAATTACTTCGCTCTCTCGATTTTATTCAAAGTAGCTTAATGTGTAACTCTCGATATTAAGACGCCTTAATGGTCTTAAATAAGATTTCTTATAGCTCCTAATTTCTTCTTGGTAGAGAGAGAGAGAGAGAGAGAGAGAAATAGATTGATACTGATATTAACACACACAGATATACATATATACCACTACAGGCAGATATGGATTTCTCATATATTGTAGGTGGCTTTAAAGGATATTAATCCTACTAAATTTATTGGTTTATGTTTAAAGAAATTTCAGTTACTCTTAATCATATTTGTAATTTAATAATATACTTCGAAGCACAGCATTTCTCCTTTCATTGTTAAGAGGGTTTTCCTTTAAATAGATATGAATCAAGATGGAAGATTACTTTACAACTAGTTGTGGTAATTTTTTTTTTGTTTGGATTCAATTTTGTCTGATGTTTTTTTTAAATTAATTCGAATTATTTGATTATATATATCTATCAAAATACCATTATTATAATTTCAAATTCTACGACACATGAATCCTTCAAAACGTATATTCATCTTTGATAAACTAAATTCAATTCTTTTACAATTCGTAATTTCTTAGATCTTTAAATTTTTACTTGAATAATATCAAATTAACAATTCTGTGGTCCCCTGCAATCCAGTATCTGCTTATAGGAATTTGATCCAACTACAATTCAAGTTGAGTTCTAAATAACTAATTCGACTCTAGATAAATATTTATAAACTATTCACTTGGTTTAATTTGGTATTGGCATTTCTCCAATCCTTATTCAATATTAGATTGCGGTGAAACGATAAACTTCAAAGAATTATAGTACAATATATTCTTTGTATACTAATTCCATCGTTGGCATTTTAAATTTTTAAACTGAATCAAAAATTTTCAACAATTAAACCTAGGTAATACTACACTAGTGTGTTTCTCTACATATTCTAATATCGTCATTCCTCTGTTTGGTTAGATATATTTAACATTTTTATATATCTTACCTCAAGGTTTCTTCATTACGTTAAAGTGAAGGTATCGCTTTTTATGAAGATTTCGTGAGAAACGTGATATTCTTCTGATATTTAATTATTAAAGGAGAAATTAAAGTGGAAGTTGACGTTATTGTCTATTAAATTTGATCTGGTTAAAACTTTGTATTATTACAAGATACTTTTGTATTTGAAGAAGGTCGATAGGATATATTAATATCTGTCACTTTTTAGTATCTATTTCAATAGGGTTGTAAGCTACAATTATTCCACCCTACTGATCTATATATATATTCATATATATATCTAGAATATATCACAAGCAAGATATTTTGGTTAATAATTTTATCTTTGGATTTGGGTTATATCTTTTATATTAAACATAGACTTTGTTTTGAGGACTTTAGGAGAAATAGTTGTATGTTGTGATGAGTGAGAAAATTGAGACTGAGCCAACACGTAGATGCGATCTTCCTGATGAAAAGGAATCATCTATTTCCGTTCCTTCTTCTGGTGCCTTAGGCTCTTCGATTAAAAGGGCTTCTTCGACATCTTCGTCTTCATCTTCTTCTGCTCAATATAGTAATATTAATGCAAATTTACATGCAAGAGTCAAGGCTTTTCAAGAACAAAGAGTGCTGAGAAGGTCAAATAGTGATAAGAATAATTCTGAGAAAAATAAATCAACGTCAAATCCTAATAGTGTTAATTTTGATTCAAAAACTGAAAAACCTCCAATTCAATTAGAGGATCACATACGAAATTTAAATTCAGCTTCAAGTATACAACAAATTGTCAATAAGCCATTACCACCATTACCACCATTACCAAAATCTGAGGCAAATGAACTTCCTGCAGTTCCAACAAAAGATATAGAAACCGATATGCAAAATAATATACTAGCTGTCCCAACAGATACACCAGAATCTATAGTGCCATCTCAAGTCAATAAAAATACTTTAAACCCGAATAGGACAGCTCCAAAAAGACCTCCTACAATGAGGCCAATGGGTAATTTATCAAATATCTCAAACAGAAATATTCCACAGAGACCTGTTCAAAGCTTAAGTCAACGTCGTGGTTTAAAACTTCCACCTGGTGGGATGTCTTTAAAATTATCAAATAAACCACAAGCACCATCAAATAATTCAACTGGAACTGTACAACAACATGAATTTGCTGCTAGTCCTTCAAATGCAAACCAACCAAAACCTCTTTCAGGGAAAAAGTCAAACCCTGGTTCCTTAGTGAATGCAGTCCAAAGTACTTCAACTTCATCAAGTGCTGAGGATAGAGCAGATACTGAAGGTACAAACCCTAGAAGTTTTAATAGTAATGGCAGTGATTCAAGCGGTTCCGGAGGTCTATTTGCCAATTTTTCAAAATACGTGGACATCAAATCTGGTTCATTGAATTTTGCAGGTAAGCTATCTCTATCTTCTAAAGGTATTAACTTTAGTAATGGTGTAAGTTCAAACATTTCTTTGGATGAATTAGAATTTTTAGGTGAATTGGGTCGCGGCAATTATGGTACAGTTTCCAAAGTACTACATAAGCCAACCAATGTCGTCATGGCAATGAAAGAAGTTAGGCTAGAGTTAGATGAATCCAAGTTTAGACAAATTCTAATGGAGTTGGAAGTATTGCATAAATGTAATTCTCCATGTATTGTTGACTTTTATGGTGCATTTTTCATAGAAGGTGCAGTTTATATGTGTATGGAATACATGGATGGAGGTTCATTAGATAAGATCTATGATTCTTCGAAAGAAATAGGAGGTATCGATGAACCTCAACTTGCATATATTACAGAATCTGTCATTAGAGGGTTGATGGAATTAAAAGATGGGCATAATATAATACACAGAGACGTCAAACCGACAAACGTATTATGTTCAGCTTCCCAAGGTACTGTTAAATTATGTGACTTTGGAGTCTCCGGTAATCTGGTGGCTTCATTGGCAAAAACGAATATTGGTTGTCAATCATACATGGCGCCAGAAAGAATTAGATCGACTAATCCAGATATGACTACATATACGGTTCAATCTGATATTTGGTCATTGGGTTTAAGTATATTGGAAATGGCACTTGGTAGTTATCCGTACCCACCAGAGACCTACGATAATATCTTCTCACAGCTGAGTGCAATCGTAGATGGACCACCGCCAATTTTGCCTCAAGAGAAATTCAGTAAAGAAGCACAAGATTTTGTTTCTCTGTGTTTACAAAAGGTTCCTGAAAGAAGACCTACGTACTCATCACTTCTAAATCATCCATGGTTATTGAAATATAGAAACAAAGATGTTCAAATGGGTAAATATATTACTGAGAGAATAGCAAAAAGAGATGCTTTATTAAAGAAAATCGGTGAACCTGAATTACCAAGATACCTACCGGCATTACATATGGGAGGTTTGTAACATTGAAACATAATCAATCAGAACTCAGAGCAAGACAGTATTGTGGGAATTAAACTCTACATACCTATTTTCTTACTTTGTTCAGCACACAAATACATATATAACAAAACATTGGCAAGGTGTATATATAAATCTATATAAACATCGAGTGGTTAGAAATAATTGCTCTACCTTCATATTAGCATCTGTTCATACTTATGTAGTATCACGATATAACTAACTCATTTTGAGCGTAACATTACCCACGATACAAGTATTTCTCCTCACTTTGGCATCAACTGACGCTAGTCTTGATATATAGTTTTAAAGTTATTTCACCCACTGCAGTACCCCTAACTATAATTCGAAATCAATATATTCAAACATGGAAATATACGTTAATTAGTTAATTAAATATCTAAAAATGTATACATATAGAGAAATATCGATTTTTACTATATCATCCTCTTAAATCAAGTTATCAACATGAACCTCCCCCATTCCCCATCCCTTCGGTAACAGTTCTTGTTGCTAGAAACACTACTAATCTGGACTCGAAATCACTTAACTCTTGACCTAATCCATTTTAATTTTACCTAACCTTATCTTAATGCCTCTTGAAACAATTAAGAATAGTGTTGGTCGTGGTGGTGGTGGTGGTAGTGGTGAAGATGTTGGTGATGGTGATGAGTTACTACCCATTTTCCTTTTGGAAGGTTACTGCTGTTTTGATTTTTCTTAGTTTCTCGTTATGGAAAAGAGGGTCGGGAATGGTATTAATTTGATGAACAATGGAACAAAAATGACATAATCATAAATAAAGTTAAAGCATTCAGTTTCTAACTTTGGTCTCAGATTGATATTGAACGTGCAATTTTATTTGTCTAATGTGATTGAATAGATTTTTTATTTTATACTTTGAGCCTCTTTAGATTTGCCTTTTCTAGGAAGAAGAGGTCTAGTTTATCATTAGATAAAGAACTCTATATGTATCTTATATCAAGAGTTGAAATTTGAGGGGAATGGCAGAAGTATGTCATGGAGATATCTATGTCAACCAAGGGCTTTGAAATCTTTATAAAGAGGTTCAAGTTCTTTTTGGGTGGAGTTCTCCTTTTGTATATATATTTATAATTGTAATTATAATTTATTTCGTATATAAAAGTCACTTTTAGTTTAAGGAATTTTGTGATGGATGTATATCCACCAATATTTGGACAGTAAATTGGATTATTAAATAAAAAAAGATTAAAGATTTATATCGAATTCAATTGAATCAAATTAAATTATAGTATAGCATAATGAGAGTTCCTGAACGGCTGAGTAGAGCCCCTACTTTAGCTTCTATTTCATATCATTATAGAAAATCGTTAGGCCATAAGATTAGAGATATTATCGGCAATATTGAAACCACTTTAAAACCTGTTCTAAAATATATATTCCCAAACTTTATTGTTGTCCATTATATTTATATAGTATTTATGATTATATTATGTTCGATATTACTCTATCCTGTTAAAAATATGAGATATATTGATTGTCTCTTCTTTGGTGCTGCTGCTACGTCTCAAGGCGGTTTAAATACTGTTGATTTAAATTCTATCACTCTATATCAACAAATTGTGTTATATATCATATGTGTGCTATGTACACCCATCGCTATTCATGGTTGTTTAGCTGCAGTAAGACTGTATTGGTTTGAACGTTACTTTGATGGCATTGCATATTCTTCAAAACGAAATTATAATATGAGAAGAACAAGGACTTTAATGGAGAGAGAACTAACGTCAATGAAAAGATCACAAGGCACCAGCTTGGCAAATTCAAGAACTAATAATTTTAATGAACAATTGTTTAGTGGGAAGTTTAGAAATGTTGAAGAATTTGGGGATGAAAATAATGAAAATACTGAAAGAGTTAGGTCACCAATTATTGAAAGAGATCCCTTAAGTAATGATGCAGAAAATCAAATGAGTACCGAATCTGAAATCTCTGATTCCATAGAAAATTCTTCAGAAGGTAGTAATAAAATGGCAATAATAAGTCACCTTGAAAAACGTAACCACTATGATGACGCAGATTCAGAAAACTCGAACGAAAATTTTTCAAATCCAAACAATATTTATAAATCAATTTTAATGGTGAGAAAATCACAATCTGGAAACTATGAAGATGAAGAACAGGGCGATCCTATAATAGTTAAAAGCCCCACAGAAATCGGTAACATAAATTACACTGACACAGATATCCATACTCCCCAAACTAACAAAGATATAAACTTTTCTGACAATTCATCAACAAAATATAAAGACTCTCATAACTTTGGTATATTGAATAGTAAGAATACTTCAATTAATGAGGTCCCATTAAGATTTAACACTGAGAAGCATCTAAATAAAAAAGGTAAGAATACAACGCATATCAAGCATACAGTTGACTTGAATAAACCCTCACAAAAATGGAGCAAGAAAAACAAAGTACTGCCAAAACAATTAAGAAAAGGTTTGAACCCTAGAAGGAATTTTCTCTACAAAAAATTTTATAAAACATCTGGTAATAGCTCGATAGACATAAAAGCAGCTGAACCTCATGCTAATGATTTCATCACAGATGCAGTCGTCAACTTCCCGAATCATGAACTTAATGATGTCACTAATACTGAGGGAATGAATAATGACACACGATTAAAATATGGCAAGTCATTGCCAGACATTAGAGATGGAAAAATATATGATCGCAATATCCAGAATACCAGTTCTGATGTTGGATCGAGTTTTGAATATGAAAATTTAAAAGCAAGTCGTACTGATTCAATAATTAAGAACAATTTTGCATACACTAATTCAACGAAATCAGCAAAAACTGGTATGAACCAGGAGACAGGAAATATTTATTTTGGGCTAACTCCGATTTTGAATAATGACTATGACCAATTAGATACAGAACAAGGGTTTCAAAATCAGAGTATTCAATTTGATGATGATGTAAATTCGACCTCAAGACCTCCACTATCAAGAACCATGAGCACAACTTATCTGTCCTGGGAACCGAGAGTTGGTAGAAATTCTGTCTTTGTTGGTTTGACAAAGGCACAGAAGGAAGAACTAGGTGGAGTGGAATATAGATCTCTTAAAGTATTGGTATGGATACTATTAGCATACTACATTGGTTTCCATTGTATTGGTTTTATATTTCTGGTGCCATGGGCGTGCTCCAGGCATTATTATACCAACATAATCAGAGAATTTGGAATAGCTCCTGCTTGGTGGGGGTTTTTCACTTCTATGAGTGCCTTCTCAGATTTGGGATTAACATTAACTCCTAATTCTCTGGCTTCCTTCAGTACCGCGGTTTTTCCATTAATTGTGGTGATGATATTAATTGTTCTGGGAAATACAGGGTTTCCAATTATGCTTAGATTCTTAATTTGGTTGTCTTTCAAAATTTCACCAGAACTTTCTCAAGCTAGAGAGAGTTTGGGTTTTCTCCTGGATCATCCTCGTCGTTGTTTTACCTTATTGTTTCCTAGTGGTCCAACTTGGTGGTTACTTGCTTCCGTTATAGGTTTGAATTCTATTGCCTTGGTATTGTTTATAATTCTAGACTTTGGAAAAGAGGTGCTTTCCTCCTATTCAAAGGGAAATAGAGTACTAATTGGATTATTTCAAGCTGTAAGTACAAGAACTGCTGGTTTTACGGTTATAAATTTGTCAGAATTGAATGTCGCAATGCAATTGTTTTATATGCTGATGATGTATATCTCGATCTTACCTTTGGCCATTTCTATAAGAAGGACTAATGTTTATGAGGAACAATCTTTAGGTATATACCGTCATGGAACATTTTATGCCGATGAACCAGGAGATGATAGTAGAACAATGTCTAATTCATCTGACTCTCAACGGGAGTATTCTATGACCAGAAAACCCAAATCGGCATATTTTAATAAATCATTTATTGGGACACATTTAAGACGTCAACTTTCCTATGATATATGGTTTATTTTTTTGGGGTTGTTCATTATTTGTATCTGTGAAAATGGATCTATACAGGATCTCGATAAGCCTGACTTTTCTGTTTTCGCGATCTTATTTGAGATTGTTAGTGCCTATGGTACAGTTGGATTATCACTTGGTTATCCAGATACTAATACAGCATTCTCTGCTCAATTTTCCATTATTTCGAAACTGATTATTATTGCAATGTTTATCAGGGGGCGTCACAGAGGTTTACCATATGCTATCGATAGAGCCATTATTTTACCTAGTAATAAATTGGAGAAAATAGATAAAATCGAAACAAGGTCTAAGAGAAAAACAGCAGAAGTCGAAGATAAAGGTGATCCTATAATCAGATATTTTAAAGGTAAACGTAAGGGTATTTCTTCATATTTTAGAAGTATGAGAAAATCAGTTCAAGCTGCAAGAAGAGAAAGCTTGAAAAATGGTAATGGCAATAATAATAATTAATTTGCAATATTCTACTATAGCATTAAATTAGAAGCTATTTCTAATAAATAATAATAACATTTAAGTATTAAAACTGATATTAAGCATTTCTTATAAATTTTAATTTTTTTTAAACAACATTCAATTGAAATACTTCTTACTTCACAAAAACGTAAATACTTTTATCATAAAAGTGGTCTCTTTTAATTTTATAGCATTCCAATCTAAAATATTAGTAACTACAAAGACTGTACCAAAAACTTTTGTATCCAACATATTTCTTTCTCTATTACTATTTTTAATTGTGACCAAGTTGAGATTTATAAATTCTCAATATGTGACTAAAACCACGATATTTTGAGCTTCAAAAGTAATTCAAAATTTTTTATTTATTATGAAATATCTATTTACAATGGATAAGCTAACTTAGTCACCGAACAATGTATATTTTAACTTGGTGATGAACAACATTGCCTTTACTGTCATTGTTTTAAGATGTATGTCTTTTAAATACCGTATATCAATTTCTTTTGAATAGGAAATATATTAGCGATTTTTGAAAAATGAAGAGATTAGATTATATTTATAAAAGGAACAGATTTTATTAGATAGAAGATAGGAATCCTATATCCTACATCCGATTATTAAGAGAGGTCAATAGGTTGAGTGACATTACAGTGAAACAGTTTTTAAATAATGATGTCTCGTAATTCTGCTGCTGGTCTGGATAATACTCTATTTCAACTAAAATTTACTTCTAAGCAACTAAAGAAACAAGCTCAAAAAGCTTCTAAGGAGGAGAAGCAAGAAATAGCCAAACTTAAAAAATCACTTAATGAAAGTGAAGAAATTGCAAAAATTTATGCGTCTAATGCTATTAGAAAGAAAAATGAACATCTAAAATTACTTAAATTAGCTTCAAGGATCGATTCAGTAGCTTCAAGGGTTCAGACTGCTGTTACTATGAGACAAGTTTCTACCTCTATGGCTCAAGTTTGTAGGGGAATGGATAAAGCTCTGCAGAGTATGAATTTACAACAAATAACAATGATCATGGATAAATTTGAGCAACAATTCGAAGACTTGGATGCTAGTGTAAACGTTTATGAAGATATGGGCGTTAGTGCAGATGCAACATTAGTAGATAGCGATAAGGTTGATGAATTAATGAATAAAGTAGCTGATGAAAATGGCTTAGAACTAAAGCAAAGTGCAAGATTGGATAGCTTGCCAGAAATAAAACAATCCGAGACTCCAGAAATAAATACTGAGAAAGAGGATCAATTAGCACAAAGACTTAAAGCTTTGAGAGGTTGAATCATCAACCTTTTCAGCATCCTTAACGTCACCTTGAAAAATTGTGTAATATATAATAATAAATAGGGTTCAATAAACTTCACAGGCATTATTTTCTTAAAGAGAATTTATAAACATTTAAATTAAACCGTAGTGGTACTAAAAGCTTAAAGAAACAAGAAATTAATATCGATAACGATGTGACGTTGTTTTAATATATTTTATTTAATTACATATATCGACTCTATACATCTTATTGCATTGGCATACCTCTACCTCTACCGGCACCTGGTGGAGGCATCATACCAGCATTAGCTGATCCGCTTTCTTTGTTCTTAATGGTTTCGTCAACGGATAATATCAAATTTGTGGCTTCAGTTGCACTGCTCAATGCATTAATTTTAACTAGAGCAGGCTCCCATACAAACTTAGAAAAGTTATCACCAATACTCTCAGTTTCAAAGTCTATACCATACCATCTTTCTCCTTTACTGTGAGCCATTCTTAATCTGTTCAACATTTCTACTGCATCAAAACCAGCATTTTCACATAACTGTCTTGGAATAACTTCTAAGGCTTTAGCAAATGCATTAATTATTAATTGTTGCTTACCGGCAATAGATTTTGAGTAATCTCTTAAGTATTTCGATACTTCCATTTCTATAGCACCACCACCTGCAACTACAAATTTATTTTGCAAAGCTCTTTTAACAATCATTATAGCATCATGTATAGATCTCTCTACTTCTGCAATGACTTGTTCTGCACCACCTCTTAATAATAATGTACAAGTTTTGGCTTTTGGACAACCTTGGAATAAGTTGTAACGAGATGAACCAATTTGAATTTCTTCGAATAATTCACAAGTGCCTAAGTGTTCTGGTTTAATATCAGTAGTTGTGGATTGAATAGAACCACCCACGGCTTGAATGACACGGTTCATATCATCTGTAGCTACTCTACCTGCACAGAAAATGTTTCTATCAGCAAAATATTGAGTAGCTAAATCACCAATTGGCAATTTGGATAAAACAATACTAGCACCAGTGTCTTCAATTTCTTTTAATTTGGTTAAAATAATCTGCCATTCTGCATCTACAATAGCTTGGTAATCTTCTACATGTTCGACACGTACTTCTGCATTATCTTTTTCAGCTTTTAGTTCTAATTCGACATTTAAACTTAAAATCTTTGGATTTTCAAATTTTTTAGGTTGTTGTTCAAAACCAGCATATGAGAAAGTTTTTTCGAAAGCAACACCATTGATAAACATAGAATCTTCCATGGCACCACCGGCAATTTTCTTAATACCAATTAATTTTTCATCAAGATCATCTTTATCTAAAGATAATACTGCATCAACACACATTTTAACAAAGAAATCAGCATTGTTATAAATCAATTTAGAGGTCATAGCAGTTTTGGCACATCTTTCCAAAAGCTCTCTATTATCTTCTTTATTTTCAGTGATATCAACAGATAATTCATTAATTTTTTCAATTGCTAATTGTACTGCTTTTCTATAACCTTTCATAATAATATGAGATGAAATACCTTCTTCCAAAAATGGCTTGGCTTCCTTCATCAATTCACCAGCAAGTATAGTAACGGAAGTAGTACCATCACCAACTTCTGCATCTTGAGCTCTTGAAATATCGACTAAAGTCTTTGCTGCAGGGTGAACAACGTCTAATAATTTCAAAATTGTAGCACCATCATTAGAAATAGTTGTTTTCTTATTCGAGGAAACAATCAAAATATCAGAACCCAATGGACCTAAAGTTGGCTTTAAGGTCTCTTGAACAGCAATACAAGCATTAATATTTGAGATTATCTGACCTCTACCTTGGGAAGCATCAGTACCTTCCTTCAATACAACAATAGTTGGCGCACGATTACCAAAATTCATCACTTCTCAACTAATATTCCACCAAAAAGTTTCAGATAAAATCGCAAATACAGATATATACTAAAATATTATCAAATTTGATACCCAATTAGCAGCTTTTATCCTTACTTTGAATCCTAATTGCCTTCATTTGTGAGAACATCTTAACTTTTATCGATCGAACATTGACATCCTCATCTTTTAAAACTTCAAAAATTTATTATTTCGAAGTTTCGCCACTTAAGGCCGGGTAATGTCAGATCAAAATTTATGCCAAATGCGGTGACAGTAATTCAAACAATGGATAATAATGAGACATTAGCTATAAAACTCAAAGTATTTAATTGTTTTCAAGCAAACCTACCGATTCAAAAATATCATTAACCCTGCTACTTTCCTTCAACATTATCTTAGACATTAGAGTTAATCACAAGGGTAATATCAGTAATATCAGTAATATCAGTAAGATAAAATGAAATGGGCAAAAAAAAAATGCATATAAAAACTCATAGATTGTATTTACATGTTGAATATATAATTATTTAACTTTTAAAAAGTAATGCAAATTTTGTAATATTATACTTTTTTCTGTTTCCTTGTGACTGAATTTGTGTGTTTGTCCATTTTCTATTTTTAGTATTGTTTAATTGTGCCGTAAAATCATTTGTACATTTATACAACCCAGGCTTTAATTGTCCCATCATTGCTACCAGTGACGGCATAATTGTTCTTGTATTTCACATGATAAATCGAGGAAGTATCTTCCGCCGAATTAACACACTCCCATTGTTTGTCATCTTTCCTATTATAAACTTTGAATGAAGTTTCACCAATAGCTGAAACTAAATTGGATGAGTCGAAGTCGATAGAATATACTGGAGAATCATAAGCGAATAAATCAGATAAACTACCAGTTCTTAAATCCCACGTCCTGATACTTTTATCCAACGAACCGGAGATTAAATTGTAAGAATCGAATTTTAAGGAGGTGACTGCATTCGTGTGACCCATAAACGTACGGACTACTTTCCCAGATCTCATATCCCATAGTCGAACTAAACCATCTCTAGTACCTGTTGCTAGTGCAGCATCAAAACATTGTAAACTTCCTGTTACAAAAGGCTCTGAGGAACTGTAAAAGTCCGGAATATTTACGATATCTGTTTGATTTTGCTTAACTACTGAACTTAAATCAATAGTTTGTATACATTTACCATTTACCAAATCCCATTGACGAATTGTCTTATCTTGTGAAGCACTAACCAAATGAACTGAATCGAAAGAAAGCGCTGTAATACCGCCAGAATGAGAATCAAATGTATGAATACATGAATTATAATCACTTTCAATTGAAGATTGGTCTTCTTGATATAGTTGTGTAGCCAAATTAATGTCCCATATCTTTAGCATTGCATCTTTACCACCTGTTATCAACATGTTATAATGTGAGCCCAATTGCATACATTGAATGGTTGCAAGATGCCCAGACATTTCTGCAACTTTGACTTTTCTTGTCAAATCCCAAACATTTACTGTGTGATCTAAATATCCTGCAGTACATAATGTTCCAAAAGGCATATCAAAATCCATACAATAAACACCATTCTCATGGGCCTTTTCTATCGTAGCAATATTGGTTCCTGGTTCATAATGACTTTGTAGCAAAGTAGTAGGTAATTTTCTTGATTTCCTATTTTCTTCATTATAGAACCTTTGTAGACGATTGATGGTTTTCTGATTTTTGGTTTTTACTTTGCTGACAATTGCTTCACTTTTAGCAACCGTTACATCCTTATCATTATTTACAAATGTATTTGGTTTCAAATCTTCCACGTTCTGCTGTGAAGTATTTAAGTCGTTAGATTCTTTGGCTTCGTTATATGACTTTTCATTTTGATTGATATCTTCAATTTCAGGATCATTAGATTCAAGTTCCAGATCATATTCTTGAATGAACTTCATTCTATCTTTAATTAAAGATAATGCATTTTCCAAAAATAATTCATCTTGTTCTACCGTTTCCAAACGTTTACAAGCACTTTGGTGCCTTTCTTTTAATCTTTCTAACTTAATACTCAAATCTTCGACTTCTTCCTTAGTGACATCTTCTTGAATCAGAGTGAAATTAAGTTTTCTTAATACATCTTCTGAAAGTGTCTTTAGATATTTCATTGAATATGAACGTGATATTTTTTCTGTATCGATAGATACACTACTAATATAATTATTGGTAAATTCAAAAAGCTTATCATTTTTGTCATCATTATTATCATTATTATTGTTGTGATCATTGCCTTCAGAATTTTTAATATATTTATTTTTATCATTGTTTTCCAGTCTTTCATTTAATATTGGCAGTGAAGCTTCAAAACCTTGAAACAGAGAAGATGTATTTTTGGTGCCTGATTCTTCCTCATTTGTAAACTCCAATAGTCCTTGATCATGGTTCGACTTCTCATCATCTAACGAAGCTTTTAAAATCTCATCAGATAGATAAGTCAATACTCTAAATGTAGTTCTAGAATCTGTCAATTGATTTCTAAAATAATCATCACCACTGTACCTTTCATAAGCATCATGACTCTCTTCCTGCCTTTTCAAATTACTAAAATTTTTCCTCAATTTAACTAAAGAATCATCACCTCCTAGATTCTTAATTGTTTCACTCAAAATCTTCTTATAACGGCTATTGGAAGATAAAATGCTCTTATCCAAATTCTCAATACCCAATAAAGCAGAAGCTGTTGTAGAGATAACATTTCTCAATTGCGAGAACTGTTCATTATCATCCATGCTAACAAAAACACTTAATAATTACAACAACTTCTTCCTGCAAATTATATAGCAAATATTATAAACTTAACCCGTCAATCTTAGAAGTAGTGTAATGATCCCCAAAGATTCAAATATTTAATACAAAGATCAATCAGTTGTTAATTGTTGTGTAGTTTTAAATCTTTGCCTCATCTCTAGTTAGTTTCGGAATGCCTAGTATTATTATTTAAAAAGTTGATGTAAAAATTAACATAGGCCAATATAAAAAGGTACGATTTAATATAAGATAAATATAAGTTAATTATTAATTAATGTTACAAAGTTTTAGTTTGAATATTTATATATTGGGATTTCAAACTATGGGGGGCAGCAGCTGGGGGGTGATTCATTGTTTAGTCATTTCAATTTGTTGTTGTAGATTTCTGATATCTTTTTGTTCTTTTTCTATTAGTCTTCTTACAATATTCGATGAAGAATTTGATTCAGAGATGGCTTGAGCATCTAGTTGATCCTCTTGTAATCTAATCTCTTTTCTCACTGCATCCATTTTTGATTGTATTTCATTGTAAGAATTCAAGAATTTTTCATATTCTTGTTGATAACTATCTGAGGGCCATGTCTTTGAAATTTCTTGTAATACATTTAACATAGATTCTGGTGGGAAATCTTCTACAAACATCGTTCTTCTTCTATTGGTTTCATTATCCGTTATCACAGTACCATTTTTCAATGCTGACAACAACTGTGTTGAATTTTTATCATCTTTAAATTTCCATGATAAGATATCTAAAGCTGCACTGCTTGCACCTGTAATTACTGAAGATGCCACTGCATCGACATCCAACAGGATACTGTTTCTGGACAATTTGCTTCTTTTATTGGATCTCTCATTTTCTAATTTATTATAGTAATCATTTGCTATATGGATAATCGGTTGTTCTTCAGGTAATCCTAAATGTCTATTTCTTTTCAACCCAAGATTTCTTTCTGTTAAATAATCCAATACACCCTTTTTGCCATCTTTCCTCGTGGGTATCTTGTTAACCTGATCTAATTTATACAACGGTGCTTCTTTCTCATTATCTACATCTTTAATAAGCTTTTCTAACAAATCACTAAAATCATGATTGCTATGTGAAATTGCGTTATGAAATATACCAGGTGGTTTAAAATCTAGAGAAACTATAGATTGAACAGAACCATCAATATCTTTAATCAATTGATCTAATGAATCAGACATGTTCGCCTTCTTTAATCTTCTATACTTGCCTCTATCTTTTCATTAAAGTTGTATTGTAAACTTATTGTTTATTTTGATCTAGTACTTTTTTCACTTTTTTATAGTGTAGCTTGGACTTGATATACAGGAATCGATGACTTAACTATACAGAAGGAAAAGAATAGAAACTTATCTAAAATGATACAAGGATTAAGTTTTAATAATGCCTATTATTTTACATACAATTTAACTAAGGGTATTATTTATATTCTTCTTACAATTTTGGATGATTTTTAATTTTTACGTAACTACTACTACTACTACAACACTTTTAGATGGAAGACGATTTCTTAACCAGTGTTAAAAAATTGAGTTAATTGAAGTAATCAAAAGATGGTAATTAAATGCTAGTTGTTCTATATAAAAGTGCTTGTACAATTTAAATATCTTGGTATTTATGAATTATAAGTTATTCTCTCCAATCTACGAAAACTTCATCAGTTCTGAATTTTTGAGTCACAACAGTTTCAGATAAATCTTTCACTACATCATTCATCCTGTATTGCAGTAACCCAGCCTGTGCAATCATTACACCGTTATCAATACAGAATCTACTGTCAGTGGCATGTACTTTACTGTTTGATCTATCTATACACATCTGAGCCATCATTTCTTGTAAACGAACGTTACAACCGACACCGCCAACTATTAACACTTGATCTGAATTAACGTGAGCCATTGCTCTTTCTGTAATTTCTACTAACATTGCAAATAAGTTTTCTTGTAATGAATAACACAAGTCTTCGACAGTGACTTTTTGTTCACCGCTCTCTTTATCAAAAAGGATCTTATTCTTTTTATTTTCTTTAAATAAATCTTTGGCTAGAGAGTCGATGTAAGCTAGGATACCACTCATAGACAAATCCATACCTTTCACGGTATATGGTAATTCCACTAGGTTTTCTTTATTGGAACATTGTTTGGCCAATTGTTCAATATTATAGCCTGGGGAAGGCTCATTTGGAATTTTCAAAGTTCTAGCAAACCTATCCAAACAGTTACCAATGGCTATATCCAAAGTTTCCCCAAAGATTCTGTAACGTTTTTCGGAGTATGCGATGACTTGGGTGTTACCACCACTTACATATAGTACAACAGGGTTTTTAGCTTTAGTAATTTCTCTTCCCATTTCAATGTGTCCTACACAATGGTTAACTCCTACCAATGGCACATTCCATAACAATGAACAAGTTCTTGCTGCGATCACTACGGAATGTAAAGGGGCACCCATACCAGGACCTTTAGTGAAACAAATGACATCTATATCTAAAGTTGGATGAATTATTTTAGCTTCCTCCAGTGCTTTTTTGATCAATCGAACACACCAGTTTCTATGATGTCTAGCAGTATCACGAGGAAGAAACCCTTCACCAGGAGGTGTCACGTATGTATCTCTTATATTGGATAAAATCTCTACTTGGCAGTCGTGAGAATAATCTCCATCATCATGCTTGTTCAGTAAAGGGTGTTTGATGATACCTACACCAAGTTTATTTGCTGAACCTTCTAGACCTATAGCGATGTAGTAGTCTCTACCGTTTTTTGGTGGAACTGCGTTTAAATTGACCATTGTTTCTTAATATTAATGCAGAACGTCTCTATAATATTGCAACGTGAGTGTTTGTGTGAGTATTCCTGAGATAAGTTAGCATCTAATCGAACTATTATCATTATTATTTCAAGATATCAATGCATTAGTATATTTTTTTAGCAGTATGAATTTAGTTAATTTTTCAAAATTTCTGATGTCTTTGAGAGAACGGCGTAGAGGGATGCCATTGTTTAAGGACAAGAGATGATGAATGAGTTTTGTTATGTAGAGTGGTTAACTTGGGATATGTGTATATGAAACTAGATACTGAATTCAATCCTTTTGAAACAGTGGCTGGGATAATGGTAGTAGAGCAGTATGAAACTATTATTAAAAAAACAATACATACACACAAAACAAAAAAAAATAACACTCCGCGACGGGGAATTGAACCCCGATCTGGCACGCGACAAGCGCCCATTCTAACCATTAAACTATCGCGGAATTGTAGTTGTGTGATCTGATGAAATTGGAAATCGAGGTGATGGGAATAATAGAGTAAGTCAGCACGTGCAAACCATGTGATTTCACATGACGTACGACGCACACTCACACTCACACTCATCACACACGAAACAGCAGGCAAACAGACAGACAACCACTTTTCTTCTTCTTCTTCTTCTTCTTCTTCTTCTCCCACGGTGTTCTCCCACGGCATACACTGCGCTGTGTGTATACCCGTCTCGTCTGCGTGTCCTTCCGTTCACAGCACTTCCCTTCCCTTCCCTTCGGCACAGAGAGAGAGACACACACACATCCCCCCCTCTCCCTCCCCCTCGTCGCCCTCTGCTGCGCCCAATCCTCTGCCAAACAAAACAAAACAAACCCAAAAGAAAACTTTTCTCTCTTTCGCAAAATTTCATCTCAAAAAGACAAAACAACTTCGAATGACAAAACAGACAACGAGACAACGAGAGACACTCTCTCTCTCACTCTCACTCTCACTCTCACTCAATACTAAACTAAACTAAACTAAACCATACCACATCACTTCCATTACCCGTTCGTTACCATTACAATACTATCTAACAAATACTCATCTTCTTATTACTAACAACTACTTTGCCTCTCTCTGCTCACTATCTCATCCTAATCCTAATCCCTACCTTCACTTCCACTTCCACTCACACCTAGACCTTCTTATCTAACAACTATCGATTCTTTCTTATTCCTATTCCTATTCCTATTCCACTTCTAATTCAAATCCAAATCCAAATCCAAATTCAAATTCAAATTCAAATTCTGATTCTGATTCTGTACACTACTACGAAAAATAGGAGTTATCCATCCCAAATCATTTGAAAAATTAAAACAAAAAAAATATTAATAATATTAATTACCTGTTGGTCTTCCTCTCACATTTGGGAAACTTATCTTTTCAAACCTTTTATAACTTCAACTTCACTTTTAAACGTTGCTTACTTGGTTTGAGTCCCTCTCGCATTTTTCCTCATTTTGGTATTCCCTTCACTACTCTTTAAAACCCTAAACTCAAACTAGATTGATACGTTGTAAAGATATCATAGATGCTCATTTACCCCTACTGATTTTTACATTAACATTTATATATATACTCATACACACTCTCACACTCTGATATATATATACCCACCTATCCATTGGTTTTTTTTTTGGCCCATCTAGAACTCTATTATCCGTATCTTTCAAGCTAATTCCACAGCTATGGTAGCTTCAATTTCTGTCAAATTGGTCGCTGCCGAGTCTCTTTACAAAAGAGACGTCTTCAGATCGCCAGATCCTTTCGCAGTCTTGACTATAGACGGTTACCAAACTAAATCAACCAGTGCTGCAAAAAAAACTTTGAACCCTTACTGGAATGAGATTTTTAAATTTAACGATATTAACGAAAATTCTATCCTGACCATCCAGGTCTTTGATCAAAAAAAATTCAAAAAAAAGGATCAAGGCTTCCTGGGTGTTATCAACATCAGACTAGGTGATGTCTTGGGCCACCTCGATGACGACTCCTCAAGTAGCAATAGTTCCAGAGAAGAAACTATCACTAGAGATTTGAAGAAATCAAACGACAACATGGCCGTCAGTGGGAGATTGATCATAGTATTATCAAAAAATAATATATCTTCTGCTTCCGCTTCCGCTGCAGCTTCTGCTTCTGCAAATACTAATGCAAGTTCAAATGCTCAAAATTCATCCTCAACTTCAAATAACAATAATATCAACGCTCCTACTTCAAAACATACCCCTCCTGCTATAGTCACCCCAAATAGCGCCTCCTCAACCCCTGTAATCAACAGGTCCGCCTCTCAAACTCCAAGATCATCGAATAATAACAATCCACAGGATTCTTCAAACTCAACTCCAAACAATTCATCTTCAGAAACCCGTCAACTGTCCTCTTTTGAAGATCAATTCGGTAGATTACCCCCAGGTTGGGAAAGAAGAACTGATAATTTTGGTCGTACTTATTATGTAGATCATAATACAAGAACTACCACTTGGAAAAGACCAACTCTAGACCATGCTGAAATCGCCTCTGCAAATACAGAACTAGAGAGAAAACAACATAGGGGAAGAACCCTCCCTGATGGTCCTTCTTCAAATGGCAATTCAAATCCTGATATTACAGTAAATTCAAATTCTCAAACTCCTGCTATCAATGGAACTGCAGCTGCAGCTTTCGCCGCTACTGGGGCTACCACTTCAGGCTTAGGTGAATTACCATCAGGTTGGGAACAACGTTTTACACCGGAAGGTAGAGCTTATTTCGTGGATCACAATACAAGAACTACTACTTGGGTAGATCCAAGAAGGCAACAATATATCAGAACTTATGGTCCTACAAACACCACCATTCAACAACAACCTGTTTCTCAATTAGGCCCTCTACCTTCAGGATGGGAAATGAGATTAACTAACACAGCAAGAGTTTACTTCGTCGACCATAATACAAAGACTACCACCTGGGATGATCCAAGATTACCTTCTTCATTAGACCAAAATGTTCCACAATATAAGCGTGACTTCAGACGTAAAGTAATCTACTTCAGATCTCAACCTGCTCTAAGAATCTTACCTGGCCAATGTCATATTAAGGTTCGCAGAAAGAATATATTCGAAGATTCTTACCAAGAAATTATGAGACAAACACCAGAAGATTTAAAGAAGAGATTAATGATAAAATTCGATGGTGAAGAAGGTTTAGATTATGGTGGTGTCTCAAGAGAATTCTTTTTCTTACTGTCACATGAAATGTTCAATCCATTCTATTGTCTTTTCGAATATTCTGCACATGATAATTACACTATTCAAATCAATCCAAATTCTGGTATCAACCCAGAACATCTAAACTATTTCAAGTTTATTGGTAGAGTAGTAGGTTTAGGTATCTTCCATAGAAGGTTCTTGGATGCTTTCTTTGTTGGTGCTTTATACAAGATGATCTTACGGAAAAAAGTTATTTTACAAGATATGGAAGGTGTCGATGCTGAAGTTAACAACTCTTTGAAATGGATGTTGGAAAATAGTATAGAAGGTATCCTAGATTTAACGTTCAGTGCAGATGATGAAAGATTTGGTGAATTAGTTACCGTAGATTTAAAACCTGATGGAAGAAACATCGAAGTTACAGACGAAAATAAGAAGGAATACGTCGAATTATATACACAATGGCGTATTGTTGATAGAGTACAGGAACAATTTAAAGCATTTATGGACGGTTTCAATGAATTGATCCCTGAAGACTTAATCACTGTCTTCGATGAACGTGAATTGGAATTGTTAATTGGTGGTATTGCTGAAATTGATATTGAAGATTGGAAGAAACATACTGATTATCGTGGTTACCAAGAATCTGATGAAGTTGTACAATGGTTCTGGAAGTGTGTTGGAGAATGGGATAATGAACAAAGGGCTCGTTTATTACAATTCACCACTGGTACTTCTCGTATTCCTGTTAATGGTTTCAAAGATTTACAAGGTTCTGATGGTCCAAGAAGGTTTACCATCGAGAAAGCCGGTGAATCTATGCAATTACCAAAGTCGCATACATGTTTCAACAGAGTGGATTTACCTCCATATGATGATTTCGAAAGTATGAGACAAAAAATGACATTAGCTGTCGAAGAAACTATAGGTTTCGGTCAAGAATAGTCTGGTCCAATTTTTTTCCTTATTATTACTCTTATTATTAATATTAATACTATTGTTATTCTTATACATACATGAATTGATCTCTCAATCATATATTAGTTTCCTAAATGCAAAAAATTAACTTTGTCGTTTTTTATTTTCTAATATCATAATTCATCTAATTTATCCAAATTATCCTATCTACAATCGAATATCTCAATAATTCTCATTGTATGTTGAGTATTCGATTTTTATTAAAATTAATTTTGAGTTCAATATCAAGATAACAAGAAATACTTCTAAGCTTTCCGATTATTTATCTGAAAAGAAAACATTGATCACAACGTAATATA